TCTCTGCACTTACAGCACAAGGGATAGGGACAGTCGGTCCTGTTCCCCAGCCACAGAGCGGTGTATCCAGAGGGGAGACAGTCGGTCTCTCCCTCCCACAACCAGGCTCCCACCAGGCTACCTCCGTGGTAGCACTGGCATCAGGGCAGAGTACCGCTGGTCTCTGCCCACTCAGCAACCCACCAAGGCAGCCTAACAGTTGCCCACACAGTCGTGGTGAGGCACCTGGACATGGACAAAGTTCTCCTCTACCCAGGTGTAGTAACCAGTTATTGTGGGTGGGCTGTACTGCTGTTTCTGTTTTGTGGGTGGGTTGTTGGACTAACCAGGGCACTGACCGGCAGGAGGTCAGATACCCTGTTAGTCTAGTTGGTAAAGGGGAGAAGTGTGGCGAAACCAACCTCGCCACTGTGAACTGGAGAAGCCTGGTTGCTCGCCTGCTCCCTTTGGACTATGGCCCTGCAGGTTAAACCGCTTATTTCCCCTGCAGAAAGGCTTATTTGTGTGATCTGAGTGCCATTCATCTAATAATGTGCACTCAGATCCCAGCTATCTGGGGATATGTGAAATGTCTGTGTGTTATGTGTAAAATGTGACTTTATGTATTTTAAAGTGTTTTGTGTCTTTTTGCAACCATGTGCTTAATGGAGTCTTGTGTCTGTCCTGGGAGATAATTGAATTACTTATCTCCAGGATAGAAGACTCTGAAACTGGTTTGGGCCAGAAAGCCATGCTTCATTTAGTCACAAAGGACTTTTTACTAACTTTTGAACCCCTTGTCTGATTTGTGCCATTTTTGAATATGTTGTTCCCCTGAATGGATTGATTGTGAATATGTAATTTTATGTGAATGTGATGTATGGTTTTAGAGTTATGAAAGTTGGGTAGAAAGTATGTTTTAACTGTATGTATAATTGAGTTTCCTCTCAGGATAAGGGGAGGGAATATGTGGGATGTAACTGATATGTGATTGGTTGTTTTGTAACGCCCTGTGGGCTGTACTATGTTTGTGATTTGGGAATAAAAGAGACTGTATGTGACAGTACAGGGAGTTCCTGTTTTAACCCTCAAAGTGAAGTGTCGTCTCATTATTGGGGGAAGGATTTATTGTATGCTGTTCCAGTTTGACTGCTAGGAGAGTAAACCTATTCGTATGGTTCCTATTCAACTGTCTACAGCATTCATATGCTTGAGAGGATTCATATGCTTCTCCGGTTCGGTGGTTGTGGTGTCTGCTGCAGTGCTTGGAGTCCTCGGGAAGCGCTAGGAGCATCTTTCAACGGAGGTACCCAGTCGGGGTGCCAGGCGATCCGTTACAGCGATGATCGTGTGTGAGGGGATGTGTAGTGTGGCCCATACCTCTGCAATTGCTCGGCGTGTAGCCAATGCTATTCTCGCGATTAGTTTGTTCTCTGCTCTGGAGAATGAGTCTATGGGTTTGGACAGTAAGAGCATCCATGGGTCCATTGGGCATGTTCTATCGAACAGTCTAGCGATCAGGGTGGTAATGCCGTGCCATAAGGGTTGCAGTTTGGGGCAGGTCCACCAACAGTGGAGGAAGGTCCCCACTTCACCGCATCCCTTCCAACATAGGTTGGATGGGGTTATGTGCATAATTGCTAGTTTGTGGGGCGTAAGGTACCACCTAAATGGCATTTTGTAGGCCTGTTCATTTTGCGTTACGCAGATAGATATAGTGGCTGTGGCATCCCAGATGTCTGACCAGTTGGTGGAGTCGTCTGGTGGGCCCAAGTCTTTTTCCCAGGCCTTTATGTATGGGAGTGTAACTTGTATCGGATGTGTCGCCAGGGTGGAGTATAAGTTCGAGATTTGGCCCTTTCGTGTCGGGTGTATCATGCAGTCTTTTTCAAACTGCGTGAGTGGGGCCGTGCTGGCCCCTAAGGGGCGAGTCTGTCTAAATACTTGCGGAGTGTCCCTCTTGGTATTTGCGACATCAGGCAGTGCGGTTGTTGCTGGTTTCTGTGGTCAGCCGCGCCGGCTCCCTGCAGGCTGGTACAAGGCCAGCAAGGTGTGCTCTCTGTAGTCAGTGTTGTGAGTCTTCAGACTGAGTTAGGGCTACATAGCATCCGGGATAGGGTGGGATGGCGGGTATGAGCACTTGGTGTTTATAGGTCTCTGGTCCCGGAAGGTCCCCCGGGGTCTCCAGCTCGATGCTGGGTCACCCCGTCTGGCCGGCGGGGGCGCCCCTGTTCTAGGCCTGATATTCCTAGTTGTTCAGTGAAGTCAAGCATTTCCGATGGGTGGTGAAGTGCATGAGTTTGGTTGTCTTTGCGTACTAGTAGTTTGAACGGGTGTCCCCATGCGTACCGGATCCTTCTTTGAGTGAGTGCTTGGGTGAGGGGTCGTAACTCCCTGCGTTTGTGTAGAGCACTTGGAGCCAGATCCTGGTAAAATTGGATCTGGTGTCCGTCTATTTATAGTGGGGTGTCTCTTGCTGCCCTCATTACTGCCTGCTTAACATGAAAATAGTGCATCTGCACTATGACATCTCTGGGCATGGCGGTGTTCGGAGTCGGCGCCCTTAATGCCCTGTGCGCTCTGTCCACTAACAGTTCTGCTGGCGGCGCCTCTGGAAGTAATCCGCAAAATGTTTCCCTGAGAGTAGCGGTTAAGGCTTCTATAGTTACGGTTTCAGGGAACCCCCTAATTCGTATATTATTCCTTCTGGAGTGGTTGTTGAGGTCCTCCTGGGCATCCTCTAGTGCTCTGACCTGGTCTCTGAGGTCTTGGATTGCTTGTGCTTGAGAGGAGGATGCTGTTGTCACTTGCTCCATCTTTTCCTCCATTTCAGAGATCCACTTGGTCAGGTCAGCCATTCCTTCTCTGATTGGGGCCAGGTGTTTAGTGAATTCAGCAGTCATATTTGTTTTAATATCTCTTAGTAGGCTTTGTAAGTCTTCTTTTGTGAGTGGTGCCTGGTCCTGTGAGCGGTCGTGGTTGCTAGTGTCGGATTCTGACTCTGAGTCCGGGATGCCATCACCACGTGTGTGTTCCCGCTCCCCACGGCCGATCGGGGCTACCGCCGCGTTGTGTTTTGATTTTCTGCCACCTCCCATGTAGCTCCGAGGCTTGTTGGGGTTGCTCTCCAGCTTGTGGGTTTGTTTTCGGGTGAGTTTGACCGCTGTTGTGAGCTATTGGCTCCACCCCCCCTATAAAAATCTTTTTATTCTTTTCTCTTCCTATCTTACTTTTCTCTCTGGTGTTGGTTCCTTGTTTGTTCAACTTGACAGGGTTCAGAGGACTGAATATCCGTAAAAAATGCTCTTGGTTGTTGCATTGAAACAGGCCTCCTGTGGAAATGTTGTCTAACCTGCCTAACACAATCTGTATGTATTCTAGGTCTAGAGATAGTTACTTGAGTAGCAAGTGTTTTTTTGCACTTGCCCCCCCCTCTCTCCACACCCATATTAGAGCCTTCTATTATTTTTTTTATTGTTTTTTGTTCTTTACCTTTGGGGTTCTCCTTGCCTATATTGATGTGGCATAAGTGAGGAATTCTAGATATTGAGGACTTAGGATGTTTTTTTATTGGTACTTTGTACACATGTTGTCTGACTTTCATTTCCTTTCTCCACCATCTACCAAGAAATGTAATTAATACACACAAACACTAATTTTTTACATTATTTATTATTTTTTTAGGCAATCTTTTTTGTGCCCTAATGATATTTTTTGACAAACATTTATTATTTTCTTTTTCCGCACCCCATGTTTTCTGGACCGGTTTATATTGTCTTCAATATTGTATATGCTATTTCTCTATTAACTTATGGGTTAAGCCAACTTGCTGCTCTTGGGTGCAATTTTAAGAGTTACAAACTGTCATTGTTAGCAGCTCCTATTATTGTTAATCCCAATTTATTTCACTCTCATTGTAATACTTACTAATTGTTCATTATCAGTCAAGGCAATTCTCATTTATATTTTCCTTTTTTTTCCTTTCACTTTTTATCATTGCTTCTGGGTTAGCCTACAAATGCAGGGGCACCAATCTTATTTCTTTCACACTATTTACTCTTTTACCTTCATTTTCATTTTTACTTTTTTTTATGAATTTATCTTGCGTAGAAAGGCTGTTTGATAGTATTTTCCAGTGGTCACCTTATATGCAAGTTTGATATCTTTCAGATATTCTAACATGTTCCTCACTGTATATACTAGCCTTATATTCACTGTGAGTAGAATCTCTTCTGCAACTGATTGTCTTGTTTTCTCATGTAGCAAGGCATGATTAGTTTAGCATGTTATAACTATAAAAAGTGCAGTAATTCTGACAGGTTGTGCGTTTCCTGATTCTAAACTTATACTGACTCATGTTAAAATGTTTGTATATGCTACAGGGTCGTCTTAACATTATAGGCCTCCAGGCAAAGCAGTGCACTGGAGCCCTGCCTACACAACCAATCACAGGAATAGAAAGTGTAAATTATAGAAACATTTAAGCTTATATTTATTGGTACCTCTAACAAAATCCCTTTTTAAACATTATATTAATCCACACAAAACATTTAGTAGGTAGCAGGTGGAGGCAACTGGCATGGACTGTTAAAACTATTAGAAGAATGTTATTCTAACTGTACGACATCAGCAAATAATGTGTGCTGATTTTGTCTTGTTTATGTATGTCCGTGTACGTTGTTTTCATCAAGGTCAAGATATGTATTCGCAACAGCAAGATCGCATGTACGGATAACAGCTGATACTGAGGTGCTTAGTCCACCTAAATGTTTTAATAAAAAGGGTTTGAAATTTCTGAATAAATTTCCCAGAATAATATACTGAAAAGTTGACAACCCTTTGCTCGGTGGGCCCCCAGGCTTGCCATTGTGCCCATGCGTTAAGACAGTCCTGATATACTGGTATGTTTAACTATGCACTGCAAAAATAAGGAATGGCAAAAGATAAATGAATTGAAGTGTCTTCCAATAGCATTATTTCCCTATAAAATAACAAATTGACAAGTAGATTTATAATATGGAACAAATTATTCATACTTACACCTGTAAACCCAAGTTATAAGGTGAAGCATTTATTCAAGATAAATTGCAGAACCCACAGACTGCTAAAGATCTAATTTAAGTCTGGCATACAAGCAGCTGCTCTACTTGTATCAGCAGCAGAATGTGGTTCTGTAAACCATATCCAACCCTCTCTGGCAGATTCCAATTTCTGAAGCCAGGCAGGGGAGAATGTACACACACAGCGTAAACAATCTGATTATCCAGAATTCTGGTGAGTTTAAATATAAGTGTATATGACATCATTCAAAACATTATATCACACTAAACTAAACATGAAAATACCTAAAACAGTAACGTTTGAGTAAAGGAAATATAAATAATATATTTATTCCCTATCCCTGACTTAAAGCTTACAAAAACCCAAGAGGCTCCTGCTGGCTAAGGATTTCAGAATGCACAGCAAAGACTGGAGGGTAAGTACTGTATGCTTCTTGTGTATAAACAGTTAAATGAATATGCCCTGCAGAATTAACGCAGTAATCTCCAAACGCCTTGGTGACGGAGGATCAGGTTTAGATGATAATATAGAAGGCAGAAATGTATAATCTTTTGTGATTAATGAAGTGTACAAAATTCAGCACTACAAGGAGAACCCAGGCTGCCGCACAATTTGCTACATATTAACACACCATGCTTCCCTGTGACTAAATGTATCTGTAAATAAATGACAGAGCATTGTTGGAAATAGACTGCACTACTAAACTTTAGAATATTTCCCACACGATATTGGTGATAATACAATTGGTGATTTGTAATAAGGCCAGCACTGAATTTCAAATTGCTTTATTAGTGCAAATAGAGTTTTTATGACATGTCTATTTCGCACTCTATGGGTATGTCATAAAAACTCTATTCGCACTAATAAGGCCTAGTATTCAATATGTTAATACATACCGTCTTATCTTGAGCTTTTTGACCTCCTCTGGGGTTGCAGAGGAACAGTACTATTGTTAATAACTTACAGTTGTCCACCAATGTGACTTCTTGATGATTTGTTTTTGGGTTTGTTTGTTTTTGTTTATTTACTTGTTTGTTTGTTTTTTAGGGACATTATGGCTAAAGCAGGAAGTGGTCCAATCCTTGGAAACGAATGTGGTGCTAACAACTTCACCATCAATGAAGGGCAGAAGAATATAGTGGTAGCTACTGGAACACCCTGTGCCACTAATCCACTGCCCCAAGGTTTGGAAAGGGACCCAGTTTATAACTGGCAGGCGACCAAGAGTTCCCTCAAAGAAAGGTTTGCTTTCCTATTCAACAATGAGCTGCTCAGTGACGTGAAGTTTCTGGTGGGAAAAGGTAGACAGATACAAAAGATTCCGTCACATAAATTTGTCTTGGCCACTGGGAGCGCTGTATTTGATGCCATGTTCAATGGTGGAATGGCCACAACCGCTGCAGAGATTGACTTGCCAGATGTGGAGCCCGCAGCATTCCTAGCCCTTCTCAGGTAGGATGGGATGTCACCAATGTGTTTGCTTTTGTGAAATACATGCAGGTTTAAATAAAAATTTTTATATAAATTAAAATATACATAAGAGATTCTCAACAAGGAAAACCAAGCATGTTTCACAGAGCCGTAGTTAGCTCCTGAGGAAAGAACAGAAATTGTGCCCCCTTGTGATATTGATCTAGAACATTGGTCCCCAACCAAGTCCTCATGGACTACAAATAGTCAAGGTTCTGTCAGTATTTCCATTTGAATAAAAAAAGGAAATACATAAATCCTGGTATGCTGGTGGTCCATAGGGAATTGGTTGGGGACCACTGATCTTGACAAAGACAGTGGTACAGCATGATTCCTATCATTAAAAATTGATCCAAACACTGAGGGTGGTATAGCATAACTTCTGCTTGTGGAATTTAGCTCTGATGGTAGGTGCGATTGTCTGTGTGTGGATAGGATTTGCAGTATTTGTGGAGGAGGGGAGGTGTGGGGGCTGTGGTGAGTGTGTGGTAAAATAGAGCCATAGAGCCTGTAGGATGTGTATATGTAGCCGGATATAGAGACTGTTGTGTTTATGGAGGTATGAGCGGTAATGTGTGTGTTTGTGTGTTTTAGCGGCTAGGTTGTGTGATGGGCTCTAATGTGGAAACATAGGGGTTGCAGTGAAGGGGGTTGGGGATGTAATGTTGGGGGTTAAGGGATGTAGTATAAGGACGTTGGGGAATGTAGTGTAGGGGGTAGAAGCAATAGTGTAGATGGGGATAGGGGTCATTGTGTAGGGGTAAAGGATTTAGTGTAGAGGACAATAGTGTAGTGTGGGGGGATAGGGCTTCAGTGCAAGGGGGTCAGGGGCTGTAGTATAGTTGGTAGAGATTGTGGTATAGAAGGTAAATACTGAAGTGTAGAGGAAGATATGGTCTGTAGTGTGGGAGGATTGGGCTATGGTGTGGGAGGATGGGGTTGTAGTGTTAGGGGGTTGGTGCTGTAGTGTAGATGAAGATTGGGGTTCTAGTGTGTGAGGATGGGGCTGTAGTGTAAAGGGGTTGGGTGCTGTAGAGTAGAGGATGATAGGGACTGTAGTGTGGAAGGATTGGACTATGGTGTGGGAGGATGGGGTTGTAATGTAAGGCGTTTGGGGCTGCAGTGTAGAGGAAGATTGGGACTGTAGTGTAGGAGGATATGGCTATAGTATAGAGCAGTGTTCCCCAGCACAGTCCTCATGGGCCACTAACAGTCCAGGTTTTGTCAGTATCTCCATTGGAATAAAACAGGGAAATACATAAATCCTGGACTGTTGGTGGTCCACGAGGACTGGGTTGTGGAACACTGGTATAGAGGGTAGAGGGTGTAGAGGGAGATAGGGGCTGTAGTGTGGGACGATGGGGCTGTAGTGTAATGGGGTTGGGTGCTGTAATGTAGAGGGAGGTAGGGGCTGTAGTGTGGGAAGATGTGGCCACAGTATAAAGGGTAGACGCAGTAGTGTCGAGAGAGATAGGGATGCAGTGTGGGAGGATTTGCTTGTATCCAAATATAGGATACTATCTATGTTGTGGAATGTTACAAGATGTTCTCTCATATACATGCCCTTATATGTTAGCTTTTTATTGCTTGTAGTTTGACCATAATGTCCATAAAAGCACTACATATATGTGAACTCCAAATCCTTTAAACCCTCTTCTAAAAAATGTCCACCTTGAATAATATTGTAAAGCACTGTGGAATATGTTGGAACTATATAAATAATAATAATAAACATAAATTAACAGCATGCAATTTATCCAGAAATAGAAAATCCCATTGTTGTGCAGGATGCCCATGAGGTTCAAACATGCTCAGATTTGGTTTTATATATTGTATATAATAAACTGAACTTGTTTGAAAGTCAAACATGTATATTATTGCATTTCAATATAAAAGGACACTGTGTCCACCATGGTTGCCATTAGAAATTTTGGGGTCCCTTACAAAGTTCAAGGCCTGGGACTATGGGACTTTCCCTGCGTCCGCCCATAAGGCCAACCCCCGAGTCTGCTTACTAGGCACGCCCACATGTAGTGTATGTGTATAGGTAATGCCATGCATGTAGGGGTTATAGTTTGTATACTGGAAGATGTGTGTGTATGTATAGGGGATGCAGTGTTTGTATGTGCGTGTAAGGGATGCAATGTGTGTGTGTAAGGGATGCTGTTTGCATAGAGGATCAAGTGTGTCTGTAAAGGATGTAGTGTGTGTGTATATAGTGGATGCAGTATGTAGATTGTAAGCTTGTTTGGACAGAGCCTGTTCCTGTATGTTATACATGTTTTGTTAGAATTCAATGTCCTTTTTGTTTCCTGTTGTACAGTGCTGAGTTGGTGGTATATAAATAAAGTGTGTATGTATAGTGGATGCAGTGTGTGTATATAAGGGATATGTGCATAAAGGATGCAGTGTGTGAGTGTATAGTGATACAGCGTGTGTGTAAGGGTTGCAGTTTCTGTGTAAAGGATATAGTGTGTGCAGGGATGTGTTAGGTATAGTGTGTGTAAGGGATGCAGAATGTGTGCATATGGAAAATGCAGTGTGTGTAGGGGATGGAGAGTGTGTAAACGATGTGTGTGTGTGTACATTATGCAGTGTGTGTGTAAGGGATAGGGCGTGTGTGTCAAAGGGATGCAATGTATGTGTGTGTAAGGGATGCAGTGTGTGTGTATGGAGGATATATTGTGTGTGTATGGAGGATGCAATGTATGTGTTTGGAGGATCTATATGTGTGTGTATGGAGGATGAAGTGTGTATGTATCTGCCAGTCATGGTACCTTCTATTACCCAGACTGTTGCACATCCCAGGGACAGCCTGCAGGTGGTTGGTGATCTTTTCCAGTGGTCCTGATACCAGCCATTGTGACTCCACCCTCTTTTTATGACATTGTAAGTGCGAGCCGAAGTCATGACGTTGATGATGTCATGCATGACTTGACAAATCTTACATTTTGGCTTCGTGGCTATAACATCCAAGGGCCAGACTATAAATAGTATGCTAGAGCTCAGGTCCTTGCCCTGCTTTGTTTCTATTTTGGTTCTCAATAGCTCATTATTATCCTCTTATTTTATTTCTGGCTTTTAACTTGCGTGTTACTGATTATTCTCCTTTCAATACTCCTTGACTTGACTCCTATTGTACCTCGCTATTCATGATTTCTGGCTTCCCTGACTTTGGCTTGTCCCTGACTATTCTCAGTTTTTTTCACATTTAGCCCGGTGACTACTCTAAGGTTGGGTATGTTTATCATTGGTTAATATTTTACAAACTGCAGGTTTGGTCTCCCAGTATTCCTGACTCTGTATTTGTAGGGTGGGATGGCTCTGTTATCTATAGCCATTGACTATAGAAGTTTTTTTTATTCTTATTTTTGTCTATATTTTTTTATTTTCCTCCCTCGAGGAAGGACACAGTGAGGGAGGTTGCAGCAGCCTCCCGGGGTTCCTTTCTCTAAGCAGGGAAGAATGCAATGGCACAAGGAGGGAGATCTTTGATCTTCCTTCCCCGCAGCTCTATAGAAATACTTATGTACATTTATAGTATGGGATCTGGCCCGTGTGGTCCAGGCTCCTTATAGGTGTATTGCCTGTATCCCATGATGGTGCCTTGCCCAGAGCAGTCTGTGCTCCCGCCCTGATGGCAACCCTCAATTAAGTAGTTATAGTGTCTTGTCTGGAGTTCCCTGGTGTCGTCATTCCATTCAGTGTTAAACGTTTTTTGATTTTTTTATAATTCTTTATTTTTGGAGTGCAATTGTAATTGACAGGAACAGTTGTCAGCATGAAACGAAAATATCATACAGTGCTTTTTCACATCAATAACATTGGTAATGCTAGCTGGTCTGCACTAATTATTATAATTTTTTTACATGTTCTTGTCTCTCTAGGCTTAGCTGGAGGTTGCATTAGAGGGATGGTTGGTCTGCTAAATTAGGTGTGCTCCGGAGAACCTAGAGTGGAGTGTAATTATGCTATATGTAGTGTAGCAAGGGTAAACAGGTGGCTTTCGCAGATTAGTGTTATATCGTGCGTGCTCGTATATACTTCGCTAGAACGAGGCGTCATAATGTGGCAATGTAATTAGGTGTAAGATGTCACAGGTTACAAGCAGGGCTAGATTAACATAGGGGCTGATGGAGCTGCAGCTCGGGGGCCCAGGCCCATGAAATAGGCCCATTTAAAAAAAATATATGCAGATATTTTTCTCAGTATAAATGAAGTTTATACTGCAATACCAGTACCAGCCAGTAGGGGTCACTATGTGTGGAGAGAGGCAGGGATAGGAAGTTACAGCATATCCCTCCCTGCCTCTCTCTACTCACTGATCCGCGGGGGAGCAGTTACACAGCACAGAGAGTCCAGACAGCAGCTCCCAGCCTGCAGAGACAGCCTACAGCTCAGGTAAGTGAAGAATGGGTGGAAAGGCAGCAGGGAAACATGGGGACACTGAGACACTAGGGGACACGTTGAGACATGGGGACGCTGAGACACATGGGGACACTGTGAGACATAGGGACATTGGGAGACACATTGTGACACGGAGACACTAGGGACACAGTGTCTCCATATCTCCCAATGTCCCCGTGTCTCCCAGCCAGTGTCCCTAGTGTCTCAGTGTCCCCTAGTCTCCCAGTGTCTGTGTCCCCCTGCCTCTCAGTGTCCCTAGTGTCTCAGTGTCCCCATGTCTCTATGTCTCCCAACCAGTGTCTCAGTGTCCCCATGTCTCCCAGTGTCCCCAAATGTCTCAGTGTCCCCATGTCTCCCAGTGTCCACATGTCTATGTCCACAAGTGCCCCATGTATCCCAGTGTCCCAAGTGTGTGTGTCCCCATGCCTCCCAGCCAGTGTTCCTAGTGTCTCAGTGTCCCCATGTCTCCCAGTGTCCCCTAGCCTCCCAGAGTCTGTATTCCATGTCTCTCAGTGTCCCTAGTGTCTTAGTGTCACCAAATGTCTCAGTGTCCCCATGTCTCCCAGTGTCTGTGTCTGCTTGTCTCTGTGTCCCTAGTGTCTGTGTCCCCCTTTCTCCCAGTGTCTCCATGTCTGGATCCACAAGTGCCCCAGTGTCTCCCAGTGTCTCAGTGTCCCTGGATCTCTCAGTGTTCCCACGTCTCACTGTGTCCCCATGTTTCTCAGTGTCCCCTAGTATCCTAGTGACACGGGACACACTGAGACATGGGGACATGGGGACACTGACACTGGGATCCATAGGGACACTGATGCCAGGCTGGCCTTCCAATTCTTTGGACAGACATGCCCCCTTTTTGGGTATGTTCGCCCCTTTTGGCTGACCCTTTTACCCCACCCATTGACTTCCTGCTTCACTGTACACTGCTGTCAGGGGGTATGGATTTACTTGAAAGATGAAAGCATAAATTAGAGAGAGATTAGCATAGAGTATGTGTTTTGTTATAGCTGCATCCTTTGAGTTTCCCTCCAACACCATCTCCATCAGATACATGACGCTTGAGAGGTATGACTGTTTTAGTGTTTTTGGTCGATAAGATTCTGTAATTAGGCTCCATCATAATTGTCAGCACCAGGCCCACTGGGCTCTTAATTTGGCTCTGGTTACAAGTTTATGTTTACTAGGTGGCTTCAGTGCTGGGTGTATCATATGGCCCCTCGTTCTGCTGGGTTTTGTGCCCCTGACCTAGGGGTGTCGGGGGAGGGTGTAATCTCACTTAGAAAGGTGTGTGGGTAATTTTACTTTACGTATAATTGCGTGTTGTCGTGTTTCAATCAGTGCTCACAGTTATTAAGTGTAAACAAGAGGAACAAATGAGTAACTAAAAATAAAATTAAGGCATAACAGTGGGTCGCCCTTCAACTTCAGCTCAGATCCAGGTTTTTGGTTCCGGTGTGGCAGCATGAGTCTTGACTGGGCTCTGGATAGTCAAGTCCCCTGCGTGTCGGAGCCTCTGGGGACAAAGGGTTCAATGTTGTCCAGATCCCAAGATCTGTCTAGGGCATTGGTGGGTGCTCCCGTTGCAGGTAGTGGCAGTCCTAATGCTTCCAGGAATACTTTTGTGTCGGCAAGCGTGCAGAGCGTGTGTGTAGCGCCATTGCTTTTCACCACTAGGGAGCCCGCAGGTCCCCAGCGATACTGCACCCCAGAGGACCGAATGTGAGTGGTAACTGCCCCCAGCGGTCTACGCCACTGTAGTGTAGCTTTGTAGAGGTCCTGGAAAAGGTGTCGCTGAGTGTCCTCAAACTACAGAGGCATTTTTCTGCATAGAGTAGGGACTTGTCGGTGGCTGAGGTGCAGCGCACTATAACATCCTGTGGCGTGGTGGAAGAGGAGGTACCAGAGCCGGGGATGCGGCATATCCCTTCCAGGGTAAGTTTCTTCACCACCGCGGGTGGCAAGATAGAAGCTAGCAGCCTCCAGGTATAGTGAGGCAGCTCCTCCATTGTTATCTCTGTAGGGACGTCCCGAATTTTGATATTATTGCGGCGTTGTTGATCCTCTGGGTTAGTCACTCATTGAGAGAGGTTGCACTGCTGGGTATGCAGTTGTTGCACAGAGCCACTGAAGTTGGACAAAGTGGTTTGAGCGTCCAGGCTTTGATGCGGTTTGTGTTGGCCTGTATCTCTGTTCTAAGAAGCGCTCGGTCTGTCGCCATCATTTGATGCATGTCGGAGAGGAGTATTTTGAGATCCCTTTTGGTCATCGGGCCGAGCTGTTGGTAAGGTGAAGGCTTGTCTGGTGCTCCCGTTGGGGTGGAGGTGATGTGTCCCGTTCAGCGCTCTGTGGCGTGGGATCAGTTGCCGCTTCAATCTGGTGGGTCTTTGCGTAGATTGAGGCTACGGGGTCATTAGTTGGGATATCAACTATCCTGTGTCCTGTGCCTCCAGAAAGCTGTCAAGGAGTGTTTCCAGGCCTCATGTCTGCGAAGCGTGGTAGGCCCCAGCTTTGCGTTTTGGCTTTGTTTGCTGAGAAAGGCATCGATCTACGCAGCCTGTCACCCAGCTTGCAGTGATGCGGTTTATTTTGTTTTTTTAACGGGTAGGTACAGCGATTTCAGGTGAGATTTGCAAGGTAAGTGTGGAGCAGTCAGTAATGGCATCTGCTTAGCTTAAGTGTTGGCTCCGCCCCCTGTTAAACCGTTTTTAATGTTTTACTACTATAAGAGAGTCCCCAGCAGCCCATCCCAAACATTAGCTTGAGCAGCAATGGTTGACTGTTAATGGCAAGGTGTGTCAGCTGACCACTTTCAGCTTATAGTTACATAGTTACATAGGCTAAAAAAAAGAATTGTGTCCATCAAGTCCAGCCTTTCTCAAATCTATTTCTGCTGTTGATCCAAAAGAAAGCAAAAATAAAAACTTTGTAAATTTGAAACACATTAGGGGAAAAATCCTTCTCGATCCCAGAATGACAGTCAGATCTCTCCTTGGATCAGTAAACTGTTAATCCACATAAGTCCATCCTTGCAAGCGCGCTGTCTTGACGTCATACTTGATTCTGGCCTCACCTTTGAGCCTCACATCCAGTATGTTGCCAAATCCTGTAGATTCCACCTTATAAACAAAGCCCGCATCCGCCCCTTTCTTACGCAAGATTCTACCAAGGAGCTTGTCCATGCTTTAGTAATTTCTTGCATGGATTATAGTAACCCTCTCCTAATTGGTCTTCCCAAAAATCGGGTTGCCCGCTACAGTCTGTATTGAATGCTGCCACCAGATTGATTTTCCTCTCTAGTCGGTCCTCTCACACCTCACCCCTCTGTCAGTCCTTACATTGGCTTCCTGTATCCTATAGGAGTCAATTTAAAGTGCTAACGCATACCTATAAAGCACTGACCAATTCTAGCCCCAATTATATCTCTTCACTGATCCGCAGGTATGCCCCTTCACGGTCTCTCCGCTCTGCCCGTTACCTTCTCCTGTCCGCTGCTTGCACCCGTACGGCCAACTCACGCTTGCAGGACTTCTCGCGGGCGGCTCGCATCCTATGGAATAGCCTGCCTACCACCATCAGACTCTCCCCTAGTCTTCAATCGTTTAGCTCATTTAATCTCTTTAGGAAAGCTTATGGCCTCCCAGAGTAACCTCTACCTCACATACCTGTCTCTTGTTCTTTCCTAAAAGGCAGCACTTTACTCTCTCCTCCAGCTCTGCTTCACTCCCACCTTATTTGATGACTATTTCCTGTCCATATGTGTTTTATACCCACCTCCTATAGACTGTAAGCTCCTTTGAGCAGGGTCCTCTTCAACCTATCGTTCCTGTAATTGTCCTATTTATAGTTAAACCCCCTCTCATAATATTGTAAAGCACTACGGAAGCTGTTGGCGCTATATAAATGGCAATAATAATAATAACTCACATACTAAATATTATTAATTATTATTATGAAACTTATGCAGTTGCTGTTTAAAATCTGTAGACTCTGATAAAACCTCTTCAGGCAGATAATTCCATATTATTATTGTTCTTATTGTAAAGAACCCTTTTATCTGCCATAGACTAAATCTCCTTTCTTCTAGTTTAAATAGGTAACCTTGTATCCTATGTATTATTCATGAGTAGATTTACAGACAATGGTTCATATTGCTCTAAATGTATTTATATAATGTTATCATATCCCCTCCTTAGCACCATTTTTCTAAACTAAACAGATTTCAATTTGTTCGCTTTTCTTCATAAGTAAAATCTTCCATTCCCCTATTAATGTTGTAGCTCAATTATTTTTCTAGTGCCATGATATCCCCTATTAATGTTGTAGCTCAATTATTTTTCTAGTGCCATGATATCCTTCTTTTGAACTGATTTCAAAATGGCAGGGCATATTTAAGGTGTTGCCTTACCAGTAATTTATATAGAAACAAAATTATATTTTTATCCTGAGAATGAATGTTCCTTTTTTCCCTCATTCTTTATTTTTGTAGTGCATAGTCAGAGAAAGACACATTAGCGTCGTTAAATACATAACAGTAATATGAAGAGATAGAATATGTTAGAAAAAAAAAGTCAGGCGTGTATGGAGGATTGACTGAGCCACTATGTCACCAGAGGGGACGCATGACAGTCCACTTTTGGATTTTCATTCTGAACACTATAACTCCATATGTTCATAGAATATGAGGAAAGAATGTCCGTTCCTGTCTCACTAAATTTGGTATCTAAAAAATGCAGCAGTTTTGACTCCTTCAATAAAATATGTCACAGACCTATGAGTTTAGAGCACATAGATTTCCACCAGTTTCTTCTTCTGATAGTGATATGTAAGGAATTCCATGTATATGCACGCATACTCTAAAACCATTCATTAAAAAAAATAAATGGACCTACAAGTTCATCTTCAAAAAAAATAAAAAATAAATGAATATGTTAGGTATACTAAACTTTCTAAAAAGATCAGATAATAGGAGTTAACAGTATCATATGAATCACCTATAAAGTACAAGAGTATATCACCTATAAAGTTCTAGGTGCGAGAAATAATGTTCCTTTTTATACATGACAATACCTCACACCGTAGTAACTGCTGATTGACACTGGACATTGTTTCCTTGTTTGTTGTCTATAACAATTCCCAAATCCTTCTCATGAGTTGTTTTCCCTAACTCACTGCCATATAGGGTGCAAGTTGCTTGTGCATTTTTCATCCTGAAGTGCATGATTTTGAATTAATCTACATTACATTTCCTCTGCCATTTGAGTGCCCAGTCCCCAATCTAAATCCCTCTGCGATTAAGTAATTTCCTGCTCAGATTGTGTTACCTTAACTAGTTTTATATCATTTGCAAACACTGACACATGACTTTTAATGCCTATTTAAGATCATTTATAAATAGGTTGAATAGAAGTGGTCCTGGAACATACCCCTAAGGGACACTACTTACGTCCAGCTTGAAAATGTACAATTAATGACAACTCTCTGTATCTTTAAGCCGAAGTTCTATCCAAGAACAAGAATTAGAATTTGGACCAAATTCTTTTAACTTGAACACTAGCCTATTGTGTGTAATCATATCGAACGCCTTTGCAAAATCCAAATAGATCACACCCACTACAACACCCTGATCTATTCTTCTACTTATTTCTTCACAGAATGCAAATAGGGTAGTTTGCCATGATCTATGATTCATAAAACCATGCTGATTTCTGCTAATGACATTCCCAGTTAATACTTTAATATTATCCTTTAAAAACCCTTCAAATACTTTCCTAGCCACAGATCTATCATTTCCAGGCAGAGATTTTGAAACCCTTTTTTATATATAGGAACCACATCTGCTTTTCTCTAATCCTCTGGTACAATTCCTGAAAGATTAGAAACAGACGTTTGCTCATTTTCACACTTAGCTCCTTAAGTACTCGTGGGTGAATACCCTCTGGACTTGGGGCTTTGTTTACCTTAATTTTCTGCAAGTTTTCGCAGATTGACTGAAAGTGTCAGCTGACCACTTTCAGATTATTATAGCGCCCACTTTGGGTATGAATTGGTATGGCTAGACGGAAGTGTGTAATCTCTGCCTTAGCCACACCTCAAGTAGAAGTTTGGCTGTAGGCAGCCAGGGATCCTCATTAAGTGTTAAACTGCTCGACAATGGTTAACATTGAATGGAGGGGCAAGCTTCAGCACTTCAGATTTTGTGGACTACATCTTCCATAACGCTCTTACAGCCAGAATGCTGTCAAGGTATCAGGGGATATGTAGTCCACACCTCGAGTGCCTAAGGTTGCCTCCTAGCAGCAGAACTAGTGCCTGGTCAGCCGGTGGGGCTGCATGGGGGCCCACATGCTTGGGGAGCCCATTGGGTGGCCCATACACTTAGGGCCACCCAATAGGTATTTCAAAACAGGGGCACAGTCAGGCATTGCAGCCTTTTAGGAGTGCGACCTGGCCCCTGTAGTATCAGATGCTGGGAGGGACTGACAGCCGGTCACTTCTTCCCAGCCTCTAGAGCCACACAGGAGGGAGGAGGCACAAGGAGCAGGGAGTATGCTGATACAGACCCCCACATCAGACTCAGCCAGCAGCAGCCCAAACAAGTCACCCTCCTGTAGACAAAAGACATGATAATTGGAGGGTGAATGCAAATGTAAAAATTACAACATGTGTATATATGTGTGTATATCTGTATGTCCAGGTGTATGAGTGTGTGTTTAATTTGTGTCTGTGTGTATATGATTGTGTGTATGTGTTAGTGTGTTTATATGTGTGTATCTGTGTGCTGATGTATAATTATGAATGTATGTGCATACATCCCAGCAATCAAACACACCCTTGCAAACACAAACATTACATACAAACACAACCCTGAATTCAAACGCCAAAATTATATACAGACACACCCCTTAACTCAAACACCAATACTACACACACATGTACATCCACAATTTAAAGTCAACACTACATCCAAACACACCCCTGCATGCAAATGAAAACATTACATACAAACACACCCCAGTATTAAAATGCTAAAATTATATACAAACACGAACTCACACAAAAGAACACCTGCTTTTAAAACCCAACACTACATACAATCACATCCCCCTGCATTCAAACACTGCATTCCACTGGCAACAGTACATATAAATACACTGCTACATGCACACACATACTATATACAAAAACATGCATACATTCAAATGCACACGCACTGCTCACAAATACAACCCAGCAAGGTTCGGCAAATGGTAGATCCCCAGCTAGCTTAGCATCGTGGGAGTTGTACAACAGATGGGATCTATCTTTTCACCACTCTTGTGCTAGAGGGGGGCCCAAAATATTTTCTTGCACCAGGGACTACTCTACATTAGTTTTGCCACAGTTGCCTACCCATGGTCTAGAGCAAGGTCTTAAATTCATACTTCAACTTCTTCTTGATGCAGCAACAGTCAAAATGCCATCAGGTAAAAGTCCATCTAATTACAGTATTTTATTTGGCCAGGGTAAGGTCAACTGTGGCTGGGCAAACCAAATAATACATACATAGCCATATATTACAACCAGAGACAGACATTTTCTCTTATTTATTTTGCTCTTCGTAGGTCATTAATCTTTTCATTATTGAGTGCTTACCAAAAATGTAAATACTAGAAGCCTACATGGAAAATAGATATAGGGCACAAAAGAAAATCTTTCAGTCTACAAAAAAAATGTACCAGATACATTTACATTAAACAAAAACCTGAAACATAGTTGTTAATGGAACTACAGCCTTCTTTAGTGGTTATGGTGCCAGGATTGCCCTGGTGCCATCCATTGGTAGGATGTTCAAACCATTTAAGAACAGTTGGCAACTTACCTGGGTCCTACAAGGCACCCACAACTGCATCTGGGTCTTTTACAGCAAAAGAATACAGTTGTCTCTGTAGAGTAAAGTCATTGCAGGACGTTGCTCGGAACTCGAACAGCCTTCTGCAACTGAATAAGTTTGAGTTCCAAGTTTCCACTGTATTTATTAGTTTTTATTATGAGTGGCAATTATGTGGCCAGTTGACACATAATTAACACTCACAGCACTGACCGTAACTATTTGCCTGCTGGCTGCTGGTACTACCAGAAGGCAAGTAGTTTAGTTTGATTTAATTTTTTTGCCCGAATTCCAAGCATTTGTGTCTAGATTACACCCGCTGCACTCCAAATTTATTGACATCCCTACAGCGAGCTGAACAGTGTTTCAACCTAACAATAGGTCTTTCTATATAACCAAATCAAGGTCTGTTGGTAGGCTCTGAGAAACGGTTTGAAAGGATGCTAGCTTATGGGCAGACTATGATAAAGAAAAAATTGGATAACTAAAAGAATTCTTGAAACTGTAATGATATGCTGAATAATCGCAGAGAGTACACTGCAGACTTGTCCTTTCAGCTGACCCCTCAAGCTATCCAAATACAGAATACGGAGACATGACATATAATAAATCATTTACACAATCACTGATCACGAGACAGAACTTGACCAATGTGTTCTGTTTTGTTCTTTTGTTTTTTTCGTTTTTCTGACTTCCAGCTCATAAAACAACTTAGACTATACGCTCAACACAGGGTGGTGTCTGCCTAAACTAATTTATCCAAATGTATGGCACTCCCTGTTACAATATCTGTATAACTGGAGCACTACTACCGAAGAGTTACCAATATATATGCTATATATTGAAAAATAATAAAATAAAAATAATTTATATAGAGGCTCAATTACATCATCACATTAATGGACTCCAGGCCCCCAATGCAAGTCTGAAGGAGGTACCATAATACTTTTTTTCAGGTAGTAGTTTACTGAATGCAATGAGTTTAAGCATATGCAGTATTTAGTGACAGATGAGTGCAATGAGAATTCAGTGTTCCTGAGTATGACATCAAGTCAGATAAATCTTCTTAAACCGGATGACTCACCGGCGGTAAGAAATCCCATCCATGTCTAAATAACCATCTGCTCTGTTCATTTGGTGTTTTAAAACCTCTCTACAGTTAAATCATCCCAAAACCCAGGTCGGATGCTAATATCATTGTAAAAGCTCTTTATCTCTATTTTGGCATGAGAGAATAGTTTAGAGCCAGATTATTCTACTTGGTGAGTTAGTTTGAGACTAAAAATGTGAGATTAGTGTGATAGAGGTTTGCTCCCCTTTTACATGAATGCTCACGTCAACGTTTGTGTTTTGTTGCAAGGAACATTTAATCTACTCCATCATCACTTCTCACATGCTGTGAAAATACTAGATGGCCTGTGGATCGGGCCTGAGACCTAGCCTCCTGCCTAGCTATTGTGGGCACTTTTATGGACTCATTCAATCTGCCAAAATACTGTTGCCTAACTCCTCTATGGACGTTTAGTTGCCCAGCACCATATCTTGGTGGAAGACCTCTTCGCACAGTTATGTGCACTGTATGAATTATTTCAATACTCTAATCAGTCACAACATTAAAACTAACTACCTTATATCGTGTACATCTCCCCCATGCTACCTTAACAGCTCTGATACGTCGAAAGCATGTTCAAAATACAGATAAGAAAACAGCACACACACAAAAAAACTAAAATACAGTTTTACATTTTACAAGGCTACTTATAATCACCTATCTTAGCAAACAAATAGGGGGATTCATTTACAGCATATGGCCATATTGTGTTAAGCCCACCACTACATCACAGTACCCCAACATTGGTGGGTCCTACACTAATGGGAGATTAGCATGCTAACTTGCAATACTTACTGCTTAAATTGCCTCCAGGAACTCCTTAATTTTTGCTTTTCTGTGGTCACCTCAAAAGTGGCACCTATAATGTATGGGTGGGGTGCTCAGCCCTATAGGAATCTAGTTTGGATTCCAAATATACACAGAATAAAGGGAAATTATGGGCAAACCTGGAACATGGATTTCGAATACACTGATCAGCCACAACATTTCAACCACCTACCTAATATCGTTAACGTTTCTCCCGTGTTGCCAAAACAGCTCTGATGTGTCAAACGCATGGACTCCACATGACCTATGAACATATACTGTGGTATCTGGCATCAAGCAGCAGATATTTAAGTATTGCAAACTGTGAGGAAGGGCTTCCGTGGATCCGATTTGTTGTTCCAGCACATCCCACCGATGTTCAATTGGATTAAGATCTGGGGGAATTTGGAGGCCAAGGCAACACCTTGAACTCTTTTATATGTTTCATAAACAATTCCTGAACATTTTTTGCAGTGTGGTAGGGTGCATTATCCTGCTGAAAGGGCCCACTGCCATCAGGGAACATCATTGCCATGAAAGGGTGTACGTGGTCTGCAACAATCTCTAGATAGGTAGTATGTGTCAAAGTAACATCCACAAGAATGCCAGGACCTAAGGTTTCGCAGCAGAACATTGCCCAGATTTTTTTTTTGCAATGTGAGCTACAATAGCTGTTCTGTGTGATCAGACCAGATGGGATAGTCTTCGCTGCCACTTTCATCTTGATGCTGGCTTATCTGTTGGCCTTTCTTGCACCACTTTTGGTAGGTACTAAATACTGAATATCAGGAAAATACCACAAAACTTGCCATTTGGGAGACTCTCTGACCCAGTGGTCTAATTTTCACTCTTTGCCATTGTCAAAATTACTCAGATCTTTTTGTTTGCCCATTTTTCCTGCTTCCAACACATGAAATGCAAGAACTGACTGTTCACTTGATGTCTAATATATCCCACCTCTTGACAGGTGCCATTGTAACAATATAACCAATGTTATTCACTTCATCTGTCAGTGGTTTTAATGTTGTGGCTGATCAGTGTACATTTTGATATATTGGCAAACAATGGAGATTGTAGTTAGCGTGCAGTCACCATTGTTTTCATCATAGTTGGTAAATAGCCTTCAAGCAAAAGTGGTAGAAGGAATTCTAGAATACTCAGTCATAAACCATCATTTTATATAAACAGTGTACAGACTACATAGGTCAATTGGCATCTATTAGCCGTATAATAGTTACAATCACAGACATGTGTAACCAGTTCTGTCTTGCTTTTTGTTCACTAACAGACAAGAACACACATAGAGAACATTCCATATTTACTGGATAGATTATGCCCACAGGAGTTCTACACTTGGAATTACCAACTTGAAATGTCAACAAATCTACAGTCTACTTGCAAGATGCTATATTTCAACTGACTAATTTTAGGGACTAATACGCTAAAAATAGACATGACATAGCAGCAGATGGAAAAAGGTCTTAAGGATGAGTGGATGATGAGGAATTCCTGGCTATTTTAATACTCAAAATGCAAAACAAGTTAGCATTTATAAATACAGGTGCATATAAATATATCATTTACAGCAGACCATGTATTGAGAAGCTGATGTTATTAAGGATGGGGTCTAAACAAATATTGCGCTGGAATTAGTTCAATGCATATGTCAATATTGCTCTTAAAGATCATTGTATAACAATATTTTAATACTTGGAACAAGAAGCTCAATCCAGCAGTCATGGACTACACTAGTCAGTATTCACATAATCCTCACAATCAATGCCACTTTGGGTTATCCAAAAATGTTTGAATTTGAAGTAGCAAATTAAAATAAATAATTTGTGGCATTTCAGATGTTAAGGTAGTTCACAAAGTTGTATATCCTCTGACATTTCGTTCACATGCATCTCCTTTTATTCTTTTGAGCTACTCTATCAATCCCTGCTTTATTGTAAACAGGACTGTAGCGGGGAGCTGGTCTTTCACAGGTTAACTCCACTAAAGATCCCAGTGAAGCTCAGGAACAAGTAATAAAATCCCATAGAACAATAGTCACAACAAGCAAGGTAATCCACGAATATCCCAATACAGATCTCAATGACTGGACGACACACAGCATCAGGAGCAGAACTGAACTTTTAATCGCTCAACCTTCTTTTAAAACTTTCTCCCATGCAAGGGAGGGATTCACATTAATTATACAGTACACCAATCATACATGAGTTGCCACCCACACATGAATTAGTATGACTCATAATCCCATTATGCAGGACACAGTTCCCCTCGTTTTCTGGATGTACCCCTAAACATAGGGCTACACCTCTAAATGCTACATCCCCTGGTAGCCCTTATCTGAGTGAGTGACATATTCAAAAATCACCCAGATCGGACCACGGGTTCAGGAAATTCATGGAGGTAGTAAAAAGACCGACCGCGCTGGAGGTAACAGCCGAAATTAGTTCCCTACGTTTTGGCCCTGCGGCCGGTCACAGAAAAAGGGAATAAAATGCACGGACGGCTTGGGTTATGGAGACTGGGGAGGATTCAGATAAACCCCCTTGTTCGTGGGGATCGGTAGTTTCTACACAAAACGATGGCAGTATAGAGGTCTCAGCGGTGTTTGCCTAGCCGAGTGTCCGATTTGGGTTCCAGACACTCGATGGCAAAACACAGCTGTTCGGGAGTTTAAGATGGCCGCCGCCACGTGTTCGTCCCCCGAACGGCGGCCACCCAGAGGACAAAGCACACACTGCGCTGATTGCCAATTACCAGTTCGCAACATTGTTGCGAACTGTAATTGGAGGCACACTTATTCCAGGGGTGGTCTGATTGTTCGGTAGTTTCACTCGTATAATAACTGGAGTGATTTTACCGAACAATCACTGAAAAAATGTTTGCCCAGGCGGTACTGAATGTTAAAGTCAAAGGGCTGCAGCACCAAACTCCAGCGCAGCAGCCTGGCACCCCAGCCACCCGGTTCAGCCATACCAACGGGTTGTGATGCCTGAGCAAGGAAAAGGGCCGTCCATTTAAATACGGTTGTAACTTCTTTAGGGCCCACACCACAGCCAGGCATTCCTTCTCAATGGCGGCGTGGCTCACTTCTTTGGGTAACAACTTGCGACTGTTGTAAGCCACTGGATGTTCTCTGCCATCAGCCCCGACTTAGCTCACTACTGCCCCCAATCCAAACATAGAAGCATCTGTGTGAACAAGAAAACGTTTAGTTGGATTGGGAGGTGCCAAGACAGGGGCATTGATAAGTGCATTTTTCAGATGTTGGAATGCCTGCTCACACTCCAGGGTCCAGGTTACTTGGCGGGGAAGGTTCTTACGGGTAAGGTCGGTAAGGGGTTTGGCCAGGGCGCTATAATTGGGGACAAACTTTCTATAATACCCTGCCGTCCCGAGAAACACTAACACTTGAGTCTTAGTCCTAGGGGTGGGCTATTGGGCTACGACCTCTACTTTGGCTGGTTCTGGTTTCTGTTTCCCACAGCCCACTTGATGCCCCAGGTATTGTACCTCGGCCATCCCTATACTACATTTGGCCGGTTTCAATATCAGACCGGCCTCCCTAATCCTATCTAGAACCGCTCCTATATGGGCCAAGTGCTCCTGCCAGGTATTGCTAAAGATAGCAATATCATCTAGATATGCGCAGGTGTAGTCCTGGAACCCATCTAGCAGTCAGTCCACCATCCGCTGGAAGGTAGCCGGAGCGTTTTTCATCCCAAACGGCATGACCTTAAAGTGGTACAGTTACAGGTACCCGAATGGGGTGACAAAGACTGACTTAGGGATGGCGTCCGGGCCAAGGGAATCTGCCAATACCCCTTACACAGATCAATAGTAGTGAGGTATTGGCCTCTGGCCATCCGGTCTAGCAGTTCATCTATCCTGGGCATAGGATAGGCGTTGGACACTGTTTTCTCGCTCAACTTCCGGTAGTCCACGCAGAAGCGGGTCGTATCGTCCTGCTTAGGTACGAGGACTACTGGGGAGGCCCGGGGCTGTCCGATGGCTCAATCACCCCCAGTTGGAGCATCTCATCGATCTCCTTGCGCATATTCTCCTGCACCGCTTCGGGGATGCGGTAGGGGGTCTGGCGCATGGGTAGTTGCCCTGGGGTTTCCACCCAGTGAATGGCCAGAGGAGTGTATCCAGGTACATTAGAGAAGGTGTCTTGCTTCTCTCTTAGCATTTGTTGTACCTCGGTACGCTCCTGGGGGCTCAGCCGGTCTCCCAGCGCAACTTCTCTTAAATCCCAACCGACCGTCCCCCAGCAGGTCTGGGAGGGGAAGGCTGTCAAACTCGTTGTGCGCACAGATAGTGGTTACCTCCTCTGAGCATTCCTGGTAGGGCTTCATCATGTTCACATGGAGCATGCGTCGCCCTCCAGTTCCTGCGCAGGGGCCAATTATATAAGTGATGTCACATCTCTGTTCCACCACTCTATAAAGGCCCTGCCAGGCGGCCTGTAACTTATGTCGGACAGGTTTTAAAATTAAAAATTTCTGCCCAACCTGGAAGCAACGGTCCCTGGCGCCCCGATCATACCATGTATGCTGGCGAGTCTGAGCCGCCTGGAGGTTTTCCCTTACCATCCTAGTCAATGCTTCTAGGTGGTCTCAGAATGCCAATACATATGGTATGATGGGGGTACCGTCTGCGCTCCGGTCTCCCTCCCAATGTTCTCTAATAAGGTCTAGGGGTCCTCTTACTCTCCTCCCAAATAATAATTAGAATGGGGAAAACCCGGTCGACTCCTGCGGCACCTCCCGGTAAGCGAACCCCCGGTGTGGGTCTCGGCGAAGGTTCAGAGCATTTGTTTCAATATACCATTGAACCGTTCGCAGAGCCCATTGGTCTGGGAATGGTAAGGAGCACTGATGATTGGCTTAATGTCACAGAATTTCCTGAGGTGCTGGGTGACCTCCGCGGTAAATTGAGTACCCTGATCCGAGATGATCTCCCTGGGCATAGTCTACGACAGTTAAAATATATTTCTTGCCAGAAGAGCTAGGTTTCCGAAGGGGGCCTATTAAATCTACTGCTATTCTACTAAAAGGTTCTTCAATTATGGGTAGCAGATGCAGTTTTGCTTTCCACCGGTCCCCCCTTTTCCCTACCCTCTGGCACGTATTGCAAGTACTGCAATACTTGCGGACTTCCTGGCTGATTCCTGGCCAAAAGAAACTTTGGATCAGTCAGTACCTGGTGCGACTGACCCTTAAATGTCCGGATAGCGGAATATCATGTGCTATCCGGAGCAACTCCGCTCGGTACCGCTGCGGTACCTCTAGCTGCCTCATAACAATCGGGTCTGACCCGGCTACCTGTTTGTCTGACTCCCTGTATAAGAGCTGCTTATCCCATATAAATCTCTCGCCCTCCCCCCCGGGTTGGTCAGATGTGACCTTGTCCCTATATATTTGTAAGGTAGGGTCAGTGATCACCTCTGCTGCAAATTCGTTATGGGGGGCCCAGGGGACACAGTCTAAGGAAGGGGAAGAATCTCTTACCTGAACCTCTGGTAGTGTGTTGTGGTCCTTGGTGCGGGCCTGTTGTCTGGTAACCACGGGATGAGCTTCTCCGGTGGTTGGGGCCTGGGTTTCAAAAGCAGAAGAGAGTCTTCCCAGATAATTCCCCAGCAAAACCTCTGCTGACAATTGCAGCATCAACCCCACTTCCACATTCCCTGACCCCGCTCCCCACTGTAGATGAACCCTTGCTGTAGGTAGCCGGTATACTGCTCCCCCGTCTACCCTGACGGCCACAGTCCTTCTGGTCTTGGCTTTGTCAGATACTAGGTGGCTTTTGACCAGGGTTATGGTGGCTCCCTTGTACAGCTTTGCCCTCCAGGTAGACGGTTTGTCTGTGATGCTGGCGGTTATCCGCATTTGCCTGTAAGGGATCTGCTTCGTGCAGCGCCATAGGGGGTTGTGGTCTTGTCCTGGTAATAGTGGGCTGCTGCTCTCGGTGGTGGTGGTGGTGGTTGCCCTGGTCGGATCCAGGTGGATCGGTCTCGGAGTTGGGACGGTCTTGCTTGTAGTGTCCCCACGTCTGGCACTGGTGACATTGCACAGAGCTAGGCTGGTGGAACCTCGGTTGGGCAGCGGTTGGTGGGGGTGGTAGTTGTCGGGTGGTGCTGTTGTGTTGGTGGGGTATCTTGTCCCCCCTAGGGGTCTTACTGCGGTCTTAATGACTACAGGTTTTTGTTGCCTGAGAGCATCCATGTAGTCATTTGCTTTCCTAGCTGCCTCCGTGAGGGATGTAGGGTTGCGGTCCCTTACCCATTCCTGGACATCTGTTGGTACCCCATCATAGAATTGTTCCAACAGCAACATTTGTAATATGTCCAACATGGACCGTGCTTTGTTAGCCTGTACCCATCCGAGGGCCGCCCACTGTAGTCTACAAGCACACTCTGCATGTGAATCGTTCTCTGCATTCTTTAGTTCCCTAAACCGCCTTCGGTATGCCTCTGGTGTGATGGCATACCGAGCCAATATAATTTCCTTTAACCGACTGTAGTCACGGATTTCTTCGTCGGTACAGTAAGGTAAACTTTTGCTGCTCTCCCGGTTAGTCGCCCAGCTAAATAGGGGACCCAATCTTCTGAGCTGATCTTATGCAAGGCACACAGTCTTTCAAAATCCTGGAGGAAGGCATCTATGTCTTCCTCTGCCTCTACATAAATTTTAAACGCTTGGTAGGGTATCTTTGGCTTACCCTCTTGTACCATGGTCACTGTTGAGCTGCGTTCTGGGGTTGACGATATCCTTTGCCTCAGTACAAACTCCTCTACTTCTGTCATTGTCCTGGAGATGATCTCTGCCGGTGGATTTTCCCCATAAAAGGACAGCCTAAATTGTAGCTGCCTTTGAAATTCCGCTTGCTCTTGTCCTTCCGCCGAATCACCAAGTTCGGGAACCGAACCACCATCTGTTCGGTATTCCGCCATGACTTCAGTGATGAGAAGAGCTTTAGTTTTATTGCTGGCTGGAATACTCCTTGCTTCCAGGAGATCTTTTAGCATGGAGCGTTTTAGTGTAGAATAGTCAATCTCCATCCGTACTCCATTGGTACTTGTTCCTCTGTGAGTCTGGATCCCGGCGCTGCCAACCAATGTAGCGGAGAGCTGGTCTTTCACAGGTTAACTCCACTAAAGATCCCAGTGTGGCTCAGGAACAAGAAATAAAATCCCATAGAACAATAGTCACAGCAAGCAAGGTAATCCACGAATATCCCAATACAGATCCCAATGACTGGAGGACACAGCATCAGGAGCAGAACTGAACTTTTAATCACTCAACCTTCTTTTAAAGCTTTCTCACGTGCAAGGGAGGGATTCACATAAATTATACATGAGTTGCCACCCACACATCCTCTCCCCTTAGTATGACTCACAATCCCATTATGCAGGACACAGTTCCCCTCGTTTTCTGGGAACATAGGGGTACACCTCTAAATGCTACATCCCCTGGTAGCCCTGATCTGGGTGAGTGACATATTCAAAAATCACCCAGATCGGACCAGGGGTTCGGGAAATTCATGGAGGTAGTAAAAAGACCGACCACGCTGGAGGTAACAGCCGAAATTGGTTGCATACGTTTTGGCCCTGTAGTCGGTACAGAAAAAGGGAATAAAATGCACGAAAGGCTTGGGTTATGGAGACTGGGGAGGATTCGGATGAACCCCACGAACAAAGGTTTTTTTTCTACCGAACGGTGAGCAGGTAGTTTCTGCACAAATTGATGGCAGTATGGAGGTCTCAGCGGTGTTTGCCTAGCCGAGTGTCTGATTTGTGTTCCAGACACTTGACGGCAAAACACAGCTGTTCGGGAGTTTAAGATGGCCGCCACCACGTATTCGTCTCCTGAACGGCGGCCACCCAGAGGACAAAGCACACACTGCGCTGATTGCAAATTTTCAGTTTGCAACATTGTTGCGAAAGGTAATTGGAGGCATGCTTATTCCTGGGGTGGTCTGATTGTTCGTAGTTTAACTCGTATAATAACTGGAGTGATTTTACCGAACAATCAGAGAATGCTGCATACAACATACATACATACAGCAAAATTAACCAAAAGCATATTAACACACATACTTTTGAGGACATCCTGGGCTTTCCAGTGATATGTCATGTGATAGGCTGGGATGTTGGGAACTTCCTTCTTTCTTTTCATCACAAAATTAGAAGACATTTTGTTTCCTCAGTTCCCATGAGGATAAAGCAAATACAAAACATCATCAACATACCTGCCAAGTTTGAAGACATAAAATTAGAGCGGGTGGGTGGATTTTCTAACCTGTCAGTGCAACCACACTGACAGGTTGGAAGACTTATCTGTTCAGCAATGAGCCAGGGACCGACCCGCTGGGGCATCAGTCCCCTCCACATGCAGGAGCCAAAATGGCGCCAACCACGAGGTCGCAGCCATTTGTAACTCCGCCTCCAAAGGTCACATGACCGTGCATGTGACGTTACAACATACACGCACATTCTGTGGTCAGAGGCCAAGCTCTGACTAATCACAGCCCAAGGAGGGGTATTTAAACCCCTGAATTTCCCTAGCTCATTGCCCTGTCGTGGTTTCTGTTCCTGGTTCCCGAGAGTGCGTTTGCTTGTGCTTGTTATTGATATTCCCGATATTCTGACCTTGGCTATTCCTGACTATTCTGATCTCTGGTTTCCCTGACTTGGCTTTCTCATCGATCTTGTGTATTTCTGGCTTCCTTGACCTTGGCTTTCCCTCGACTATTCTCTGTCTTTCAACGTATTAATCCAGCCATTCTAAGGACCAGTTTATATTTTGTCTATTTTTCTATTCTATGTAGATGTTACATAGTTTTGCGTGTTGGATTACATTAGTAGTCGTGACAGATCTGCTATGATGTCATCCACATACCACTAGACATGTTCAGAGGTTTTGTGGTGTCCATGCCTCAATGCATGTTCTGGAAGCATGAGGTGGAACAAACACAATATTAGGTTGGTAGTATTAATGTTGTGGCTGATTAGTGTGTATTAACAATACATTTACAATGGTTTAAATTAACTTAATTTATATTCATTTAGTACTGTCAGTATTTCAGTAATTGTTTGTGTCCAGTATTTGAATGAGTGTAGGACCCACCAATATTAGAGTGCTGTGGTGGGCTTAACATTATAAGGCCATATTTGCTTGCTGATTAAGTAGCCTTGTAAATTTTAAAACTGTACTTTTGTGTGTGTTGTTTATTAATTTGTATTTTGTATAGATTTTGGTCTTTACAGCAGCACCACTGCTAAATAATGCATTTCCCGGGTGTTCCTTCAATTCCTTGTTTTTCTATTATTTTCAGTATGACAATGCACAATGTTATTATTTTTTTTCTTGTTAGGTTCCTTTACTCAGATGAAGTTCAGATTGGTCCAGAAACAGTGATGACCACACTGTACACTGCTAAAAAATATGCAGTGCCTGCACTGGAGGCACACTGCGTGGACTTTCTCACCAAACATCTCAGGGCAGATAATGCCTTCATGCTGCTGACACAGGTAAAGCAATGTCAGTCCTTCCCTGGAGCAAACTGATGGGAATGGCACAAAATCACATGACCTGAATAGATTCACAGAACTCTGGTATAATTGATCACCAAGAGTTGAAAGACAGATAGAAGATGGAAGCATATAATGGACTGAGGGACATTGTTTGCATTCTTTACTAGAATTAAGTATTGACAAAATGAGTAAAAATGACATTTAACTCATAAAGTGTCAGAAATAGTTCTGTTTATGATACAGCAGCATTGCTGGTTATAATCTAACACAGGGGTACCCAATCCAGTCCTCAAGTACCCCCTACTATGCCAGGATTTTAGGGATTACCCTGTTGTGTCTAAAGTGTTTTTTTTCTTTTTCTAAAAACACCTAATCCCTAAATCCTGGACTGTTAGGGGGTACTCAAGGACTGGCTTGGGAACCACTGATCTAACATATTTATTTTGAGCAGGAAGGGCTGCATTGCTTTCAAGTAGAGGATGTCTGAGGTTTTGTTTCTGGGTTATTTGTGCTTTCTATCCAGCTACCACTCAACATACGAACTCTTGCATGCCTGTCTATAAATAAAGCATAAGTCACATGTTGCCTTGTCATGTATATATAGTACATGTTCATGGAAATATTTTGAATGAGCTTAGCGATGCTTTAAATTATTCAGATCATAGCCAGAGACTTGGTAAAGTCAGTGCACAGGTCACAAGAGGTCATGCATTTTTGAGTGACATGAATGGATATTTAGTCCTTCTGAGCCATGCAGTGAAAGTCCATCAACTTGAGCAACCTAAATATTGCCCCTGGTTTGTGTCAATATAGAGCTTCAAACATATTACACTACAACTTGGATGCTCACAGCAAGCAAGCTGTAATGGGACTATGTTATCCATCATCTTAAGATAACGGCTTGCTGTCGGTAAATGGAGTTATATCTGGACATTAGTTATGGAGGATCAGCTTAAACCTTGTTTAGTCTTTTAGATATTGACTCATGACTCAGAAATCTAAATATGTTCTTGTGGGTCATGTAGGGAGACCTTCAGGTTATATTTATGAGGAGAAAATAGCTTACCTTCAAACTAACCAAACTTGTCCACATGGGGCGACAAACATGTTTCTTCTAGTTGGAGATGCAATGTAAATGTCATTCCGTGTTAATGTAGACAATGTGGCCATTGTTAGTAGAGTTGACTGGTGGAAACATTGTAACCAGTCAAGGCTTCTCTTGCTAATGAAATACATGTAGTTATGACTCCTAACTAGCAAAGCATACCTATCAAATCTCACGAGTACAGTCTAATGAAATAAACTAAGAGTGACATATATTTGCACTTTTTTGATTTCTTGTTGGAGAGATGTATCACGTTCCATGTGTACATAACTTTTATATCACGCACAATAGTTATAAAGACTATAGACTATTGCCTGTAGACACCAATAACAGAAGAGCTTGGAGTGAACGATCTCACTTTCATCATACATTACAACATTTACTTATTTGATCTTTTACTGTGTAAATCCCTAATTCATTTATATTTATTTTTTCTTCAATACATTCACTCTTAGGCTCGGTTGTTTGATGAACCACAGCTTGCCAGTCTCTGTTTAGACACCATAGACAAGAGCACAGTGGATGCTATCAGCGCAGAAGGATTCACTGATATTGATATAGGTAAGTTCTGAACAAGTGCTTAGAAATCTTGTTCTTAAAAAGCAGAGGTGAGATAATCAAACAGTCACTCTAAGTACAGCCACAACATTAAAACCACCTGCCTAATATTGTGTAGGACACCTTCACGCTGCCAAAACAGCTGTGATGCGTGAAGGCATGAACTCCACAAGACCTCTGAACGTGTCCTATGGTTTCTGGCACCAAGATATTAGCAGCAGATCCTGTAAGTCCTGCAAGTTGTGAGGATTGGAGTGCATCGGATTTTTTGCACATCCCACAGATGCTCAATCGGATTGAGATCTGGGGAATTTGGAAGCAAAGGCAACACTTTGAACTCTTTATCGTGTTCCTCAAACCATTCCTGAACAATTTTTCTAATGTGGCAGTGTGCATTATCCTGCTGAAAGAGACCATTTCCATCAAGCAACACCATTGTCATGAAGTGGTATACATAGTCTGCAACAATCTCTAGGTAGGTGGTACGAGTCAAAGTAACATTCCAGGATCCAAGGTTTCCCAACAGAACACCCATGACCCTAATGCCAGTTCACCTGTGGTCCTGCAATACACCACTTTTGATAGCAGGGCAGATTTCCCACTAGGCAGAGTAGTGGCCACTATGGAGCTCCTATTTAAAGCACTTATAATGTGCCTTTTTTTGGATGAAATAGGCTGGTTGAGAGAGATACGTACCAGGAGCTTTGGCTTGTGTCCACTGTAGTCCAATCAGCCTTAATATCACAACAGCAGGAACAGTTAGAGATGGTGCAAAACTCAGTGCTGTCCCGGTTCCTCCAGTGTTTGTGTGTGATGCTGGACAGGAAGACGAAGGAATTACTTTCCTTTTGCCTACTAACAACCTCTCACACAGGAAATGCCTTACAGGAAGAGCAGGGGAAGAGTTTAGTGATTCACACAGTATAACCGCTCCTGTAGCTCCAATATCATCAATCTGACTGGTCTACAGAAGACATAGGAGAATGAGTACTTTGAAAATAACCCTTCAAACTACAGAAATCAAAGCCTAAACCTGACATTAAACACTTTACCTTAATCCTGTTTACCTCTTTTTAAACACCAAACACCCCAATACTGAATTAACCCCTTAAGGACAGCGGGCGTGCTATGACGTCCTTGGGGACTGTCTCTACACACTGGCGATCGTGATGGGGGGACTTACCTGGCATCCCAGGGAGTCCCCCTGCTGCCGATCCAGCCCTCCTGGGCCATGTGATTGCGAGGTCCTTGCGAGGACCTCACAATCACATGGATGGCATAGCCGTCCATAGCAGTGCCAGCAGGGGGAGTGCCTGGAATTACAGGCAGTCCCCCTGCTGCCTGTAAGAAATTAAAATAAAGTTTAACCCCTTCCCAACCAAGGACGTATCAAGTACGTCCAACAAAAAACGGTCCTTAAGGACCGAGGGCATACCTGATATGTCCGCGTTGAATTAGAGCGCTGGAATCAATCATGATCGCTACCAGCAGCTCTAATGGTATTGCAGCAATGCCTCGATGTTGAGGCATCACTGAAATATCCCCCTCACTACCGGTGGCCGCCAGAGAACACCAGGTGATTGCTCCCCCAGAACGATCACTTCCGGGTTGTTTCACATCAGGCAGGCTTCCGATGCTCTGCCTGTACTGAGTGCCTGAAAGGGTCGAGGCACTCAGTAAATATAAAAAAAATAAAAATAAAAATAAAATAAAAAATTATAGTCTCTTTATATTCTTTCAAGGAAACAATATAAGGAGTTTTTTTTCATTAAGTCCATGGGGTGATAAAGTATCCAGAGTGTGTATCCAAAAGGCTTCACCTAAGGAGGAGAATGTCCCGGTTGCCTCCTCTCAGAGGTACGTGATCGATACCCATGAATCGCAATGAGGAGAGGTTATGTCCCACTTCTAAGAAATGGCGGGCAACAGGGGTGCTAGCCATGCCACTCTGTAAAGCAATGCGAATCGCAGACCTATGTCTCCACATCCGCTCTCTGCATTTGACGTTTTCCCCACGTAGGCATATGATCTAATATACAATGTGAGTGGTTGTACAGCTAATCTTGTGTTTAATTTTGTATATGTTGCCCGTTCTGGGATGGCAAAATGTTTTCCCGAGTACCATAGAGTTGCATACCATACAATTCAGGCACTGCTAACATCCTGCATTAGTGACAGCAGTCAATCGTTCGATTTTGGCAGTTTGGTCAGTTTGTACAAGGAGATCACGCAGGTTTTTGCCTCTTTTGTAACTGATGACAGGGGTTTGACGAAATACGAAATATAGGAGGTAAAGTCGGATCCTTGCTCATCAGAGACCAGTTATTTTCAATATTTTCTTGCATTTCATGAGATCTAGGGTGAAATGCTTGTGGAAAAGTGAACCGATCTTTGGTTTTAATCGATTGCTTTTGCCTGCTGTCACTTGTACTGCTTTATTATAAGCTTGTTCCAAGGTAAATCTCAGATATTGCTGTTGGAATTTAATGAGCATTTTCCGTATCTGTTCCTCTGCCCGTTTTGTATTAGAGTTGTTCTGGATTAATCTGATAAATTGCGAAACTGATAAGGATTCTTTTCATTTTCTCGAGTGGCAACTCGAGGCATGCAGGATTGTAAAAACTTTTTGTGTCCTGATGAAAGCTCCTTAGGGGAGCTGAAACGTCGATTATTTTTTGAATAAAAGAAGAACTTTTGAATGATAAATCCTTGGAGTGCCAGTATCTTTCCATATATATATGTATTAAGGCAATTTGCCTGCATTTGTGGGAGGTGCTGGTTTGCTACCCCTAGCCTACTTAAGGCACTCCCCTTACCTTGCTCCTTACCGTTCGAGGTCAGCGTTGAATGAGGATCCACTTCCGGGTTCTCTCAGACGCCATCTTGGTTTCAGTATCCACGAGGTTTTCACCACGTTAGCTGTGTCCAGGAATCCTGTTCAGGCCTTCCGCCCGTCCAGCTTCTTCTGACTCCGGTCTCCGTCGTAGATCGCGTCCCAAGGACTCCTAAACCGTAAGTCAGACCTTACTGTCACGCCAGGACTGGTTCCCACGGCGTACGGTACAGCACGGGTCCTCGCTTTACGGCTTTTTCCCTGGTTATGACACGAATGTTTCAAGCCATTCGCGGGCTTTTTCATTCGTACGGTCATTCGGCTGAACATAGTTAATCGTTCAATAGTCATTTCGCATATCCTATTTCATGTAATATTGAAACGAATTATCATTCGGTTGTTTTGCCGTTCTGCAAATTTTCACTTACGCTCAAACACGCTTTCGGTTCGCATAAATCATACGGTTAAACTATTCTAACTCACATTTGCTTTCGGCTTTTCTGTGTGTTCACGTATAATCCTTTCATGAATTATATTCACCATTTCATGTGTACATAACGTTCAGTTAAGAATTGCTTGTTTAAATAGATTATTTTGATTACTTTTAAATATTGTCAGTATTGTATTACGTCCACAAATCAAGTCACTTCTCTGTATATACCATTTGACTCCCGCGCTTTCAGGGGTCTGCATTACTTATCCATTTATACAAATGGACTCAGCCTATGTTACAGCCCTCACTTCTGGGTTATTACTACAACACATACAAAGGATATAGGTTCATTTAGGCAATAATTCTCGGGTTGATACGTCTTTTCTATACAAATATATCATATAGATATACATCACTTTACATCATTTTAAATCATTTTGGGGTATCCCTGCCTTTGGTTATTCTGCTACATATCATACATAACGCTGTGTAAAATAGGCCATGACCTCATCCATGTCCCTTTCTATAAAACCAGTTACATTTCTGTACAGATCATTGAACTCCAACGCCAGGAGTTTTATAACTATCCATTTCATTTCAATTCACTAAGCCCATATTACAGGCCTCATTTCTCTGTCATGACGATGACACATAAGGCTTAAATCCTTTTTATGCATACTTGGGTTGAATCACACGTACTGATCCAACCAATCATACGTTCCCTGCACAGTCATATACATATGTATATAACCTACATTTCATGTTTTCCTTTACACACCATTATCACGTAACACATAGATTGTTTGTACATAGGCCACGGCCTCCCTCAGATGTCTTATTCAAGCATGCAAACATTTCTGAGCCACTCATAGCTATTCCCATGGTATCAACATAATTTTAATACATTGCTGCTACAGACTATAAGTCTGTTTCTTTTCACACTCCACACTCATCATACTACTCTCTTTTACCCATTTTTAGGCTGTCAAGCTTATATATTTGCTCCACACGGTTTATTCCTGTGATTTGTCATACTACCAGGTACGTACACCTGCTCATATGGTATTCTACCATACATTTCATTTCATCCCCCTAGGTTAGAATACTGGCAATAGGGTCACAGGATTCCCAATAGGTATTTACCCCGTCTTGGCTGTCGCCATCAGTTAGTGGTCCCGCGAGGCCAACACCCCGCCTCAAACGTTCCAGAGGCAAACACCCATCGGGCCACACGTTAGCTAGTCGCCTCGCATGTTGCAAAGAGAGTGCCTCACCTGTCACTCCCTTCCCCTGTTTTCTGTCGTACAGTCACCGAGAGGCCTAAAACTCCTGCCACTACGTCAAGTGGCCTCAATAACCCCTCGCGCCAACGCATAGATAGAGCCTCTCAAGCCGCTTGGCAATTAGCAGGGCCTCACCTGTCACCAAACAAGTATAATACTTTCGCCATCCGGCCTAGCTAGCCTGCCAGTACAATTTGGTGGTTCTATATACTAATTATTGTTTTATTTATAGTATGTCTCAGGAAGGGGTAGAGGATTTCTCCCTGCCTAGCACCCCGGCTAGAGCTGTCACTCCCACACAAGGAGGAGAGCTAGCTAGTCCAGCATCAATTAGATCCTGGACAATCCCGCGCATAACCACGGAATTAAGGAGACGACAAATCCCCTACCCCGCTACAGCAAGGAAGGCAGAACTTTTCAAACTGCTACGCACATCAACTAATAACATGGAGGCCGGGGAAGGATCTAGCCAGTCCAACCCAGGGGACGTACATGCCATGTTATCCTTGCTCATGGCATCCATGGGCAAGGTCAACTCCAGGCTGGAGAAACTTGAGTCGGTCACCACGGCCCTCACTCTAGCAGGGCCACCCGCGGCTGCGGTACAAACACCAGCCTTGCCATTAGTCGCTCCAGCCAGCACCCTGGATGACCAGGAAGTTAGCCCGGCCCACATGATACCTGAGCATATCAAAAGGGATATCCTGGAAGGTAAAGACGTCAACCTGGCTTCCCTGTTGATTGCCTCCCAGGACATTGTGGAACATAAGACGTATGCTTATGATGATGTTTCTGTTATTGTCAGATCTAGGGATGCCCGCCTGAACAGGAAACTGACTATCCCAGAATTTGTACTAGCGTTTGGTATTTACAGGGATGTCATCTGTGCGGTTTATCCCAACAGAAGAGAGGAGTTTGATCTCTATATGCACAAGCTGGTAGACCTGGGCAACAAATATGGTGGTTCAGCATTCTATGACTACCATAGGTCTTTTTCTGCAAAAGTGGCTGGAGCCTTCTCCCAGTACGGTACACGATCCAACTGGGGAAGGATTGATACCGTCTTATTTTGCAGACACTTTGCAGGTCTAAGAACACCAGCTTGTGCATACTGCTCCTCCACAGCCCATACTACTAATTTTTGTCCCAACACGGCAGACGGACATGCCTCCACACAAGGAACTAGTTCCTCTGGGGATCCAGGGAAACTATCCAAAGACAAATTGGGACGCCCAATCAAGTTTCTGGGCAAGTCCCAGATATGTAATAATTTCAATGTTGGGTCTTGTAATTACAGTGGATGTAGACTATTGCATGTCTGTTCAAAATGTTTTAGGGCACATGCAAAGACCATGTGTCCAAATAAAATGTATTCCAAGCCTTACCTTACGTCCATTAATATGCCAGTATTCACAGCATTGATGTCTCAGCACCCATCTAGACACCTGGTAGACTTTCTTATTTCTGGTTTAACAGAAGGCTTCCACACAGGTATCCTACACATACCAGCTGGAACTCTGGAATGCCCTAACCTACAATCCGCCCAACACAACCCCACAGTGGTTGACACCCTCATAGCCCAAGAAGTGGATGAGGGCTTTGTATTGGGGCCTTTTAGAACTCCTCCATTCACAGAATGGCGCACCAACCCTATTGGTATTGTCACAGGGAAATCTTCCCAAAAACAGAGACTCATCATTGACTTATCGGCTCCCCACTCATCGGCCAACCCCAGTCTTAATTCCCTCATACCCTCTGAGGAATTCTCTCTGCAATACACCACCATAGATCACGCCATTACAGCTATCATACAAGCAGGGGTTGGAGCCTGGCTCAGTAAGACCGACATTACTAACGCCTTCAAACTACTCCCTATCCACCCCACACTGTGGCACCTGCATGGCATCAAGTGGTCCGGGAACTACTATTTTTTCTCCCGGTTAACTTTTGGGTCCAAAAGTAGCCCAGCTATTTTCGACACATTTGCTGAATCATTATGCTGGTTACTATTGAACATAGCCAGATGCCCTACGGTATTACATTACTTGGACGATTTCCTACTGGTCGAGGAGAATACTGCACCTCCCACTAGCCTCAAAGCTACCACTAAGCTGTTTGAGCAACTAGGTGTACCCATCTCCCCAAAGAAAACAGAAGGGCCAGACATGGTTATCACTTTTCTGGGTATCCAATTAGACTCTGCCACAATACAAGCAAGCCTACCATACGATAAGATAGAGAATATTCTCACTTACATAAACAACTACCTACAGCTCGGCACTTGCAACCGCAAAGAGCTACAGTCCCTGCTAGGGTCACTAAATTTTGCGATGCGCATCATACCTCAAGGCCGCTCCTTTATTTCACGACTATTGCATCTTTTCCCACTTTTTCTACATGACACGCACAGGTTGTCCTTAGATGCCCAAGCTACGGCAGATCTAAACATGTGGAAGAGGTTTTTAACCACTTGGAATGGTAAAAGTATGTTCCTCCCTCAATTGACTGAATCATCTCCTACCATTTGGTCAGATGCGGCATCTACCACTGGTTTTGCAGCAATTTTTGGGAACGAATGGCTTTGGGGCAGCTGGCCTTCAGCAGTTCTGGATTTGGAAGGTTTTTCCACTACCTCAGCTCTTTTTGAGATCTACCCCATAGTGGCGGCTGCCGTAGCGTGGGGTCATTTATGGGCTAATACGCCAGTGCGTTGTTACTCAGACAACCAGGCAACCTGTCACATCATCAACAAAGGTCGTTCCAAATCTCTTACGATCATGAGATTTCTGAGGAAACTCACTTGGTTGGCAGCTTGTCATAATTTCTTCCTATGTTGTTTCCATGTGCCAGGTGTATATAACACAGCTGCTGACAATTTGTCTCGCTTTAAATTTCAGGAGTTCCATCAAGCACTCCCGTCAGCAGCACCCACAGCCACCATCACTCCAACATTTCAACAACTCATACTGGACTAGACGTCATCATGCAGCATAGCAGGACATTGTCCCAGTTGGCACTTTCAAACAATACAAACAAAACATACATCAGGGCTTTCACACTATTCAAACGATTCCTTCTGGAACACAACATCATACAACCGTTTGTTATGACATCTTTTTTGGGGTTTGCTTCCTTTTGCCACCTTAAACTCAAAATGTCATACAACACCATCAAACTCTATCTCACTGGCATTCAACACCACATGCTCATCTTACACCCAAATAACAACAGTTTCATGGCCTCTCACCAAATTAAGACCATACTCAGAGGTATTCAAAAATCAGAACCCACACATTTGGCCCAGAGGCTACCCATAGATAACCATATCTTCAAAGCATTATCTAACCTACTTGACCTAAAACCGTTTGACACTAATACGAATTCTATCATCAAAACAGCAATATACATCGCTTTCTATGGATTTCTACGACCCAGAGAATTCACTACGACCTCCACGACCAAAACCACTCCATTCCTCCTCTATTCCCACTTGACAAAACATATGGATCATTACATCCTGTCTTTACCTCACTCCAAAACCAGCCAGCACATACCTGTAAACATTCCGTACTATCCCACGCACAACAGATGGTGTCCCGTCAAGGTTCTTGATGCCTACATACAGCACCATCACTTACTGCCCTCGCAACCGTTATTACAACTACAAGGTGCAGTACTCACCACTACAACCTTCATGACTTACGTCAGGTCCTTGCTCACACAACTGGGCCTCAACGCAAACAAATACTCAGGACACTCCTTTCGTATAGGAGCCGCGTCCACAGCCTCCAGTGTCAACATCCCAACTCATGTTATCAAAACACTGGGGCGCTGGAAGTCATCCGCTTACTCACGGTACATACCGAACCCAGTACAAGAATTAAGGGATGCTTTCATAAACATGTCTGGTTGATAAATGTATATGTATTGGTTGTCTGTTAATAAATTTGATTACTTAATTTTTGCCCTCTTCTTTCTCAGGCCTACCTCATCGTCGGTTTCGGCACACCACAACCGACTTGCTCCTTTTATCATCCTACGCTTATTCATGGTATTTCACACTGTACTATCTTAAGCACCTAACACAAATATATATATATATATATATAGATATATAAAACATCATACTAAGTGTATTTTTCTATTAACATGTACATATATTAATATAAAAACACACTTAGAGTTAAATTACACACACACATATATATATATATGTATAATAACTATATATATTGTGTATATATATATATTATAAAAAATAAATAATAATAAAAAAACTGTAAAAATTATTTTAAAAAATTATATGTATTAAGGCAGTTTTGCCTGTATTTGTGGGAGGGGCTTAAATTAATTCACTCCCCTATATAAGGGACACCTCTTACCTGACTCATATTGCTTGAGGTCAGCATCAGAATGATTTCCACTTCCGGGTCATCCAGACGCCATTTTACCTGATTACTCCATGAGGTTTTCTAAGCTGAGCTGTGTCAGGAATCCAGCCACAGGCTTTTCCGGCCTACCACCTTCTTTCTTCAATCTATCGCTGTGGATTGTGTCCAAGTGACTCACAAACCGTAAGTTGACCTACCCATTACGCCAGGCATCAGTCCCACGGCACCATGCAAGGGTCAGGTCCTCACTTTACTGCTGCATTTTGTCTGTCTGTTCTAAAACCATTGCATGTTCATGCATATCATTCGTTTAAACCCCCTACTGGTCTTTGGGTGTACTACAGACTTCTTAGACATTATCGCATTTCATGTACAAACCAACTAACCACTGCATCTTTGCCTACACACTGACCCCTACCGGTCATTCGGTGTACTACAGGCTTCTCAGACATTATTGCATTTCATGTACAAACCAACGAACCACCGCATTTTTCACCTACACACTGACCCCTATTGGTCATTCGGTGTACTACAGGCTTCTTAGGTGTTGTTTGCATTTTCATGTACAAACCAATAAACCATTGCATTTACACCTACACACTGACCCCTACTGGTCTTTCGGTGGACTACAGGCTTCTTAGACATTATCCCATTTCATGTACCAATCAACAAACCATTGCATTTGCGTCTACACACTGACCCCTATCAGTCATTCTGTGTACTACAGGCTTCTCAGACATTATTGCATTTTATGTACAAACCAACAAACCACTGCATTTTTCACCTACATACTGACCCCTATCAGTCATTCGGTGTACTACAGGCTTCTTAGACATTATTGCTTTTCGTGTACAAAACAATAAACCACTGCATTTTTACCTACACACTTACACCTACCGGTCATTCAGTGTACTACAGGCTTCTCAGACATTATTGCATTTCATGTACAAACCAACGAACCACGGCATTTTCGCCTACATGCTGACCCCTACCGGTCAATCGGTATACTACAGTCTTCTCAGACTTTATTTCACTTCATAAGCAAACAAACTAACTACAGCATTTTCGCTTTTATACTGACTCCTATCTGTCATACGGTAGGATTAACCCCTTAGGGACACATGACATGTGTGTCATGTCATGATTCCCTTTTATTCCAGAAGTTTGGTCCTTAAGGGGTTAAAGGGTATTTTTACCATACAATCAGCATTTATGACCCCTACTGGTCAACAGCAAAACTGTCTTCACATGTCATATACAATTTACCAGCCAATATAAATTACACATAAGATTGTTTTAAACCCTTAAGGACACAAGACATGTGTGACGTGTCAGGATTCCCTTTTATTCCAGAAGTTTGGTCCTTAAAGGGTTAAACATAACCATAAGCCATAAATGAAACTCCAGCACGGGCTCAAATTCAGGTTTAATTCACAATAATTTACATTTCACATCAAGACCAACAGTGGTTCTATCAACACTGCCACCTACAGGTCTGTCAAGTACATTGACAATTTTCATGGGGTTTTACAAACACCAAAACACTTACACCTATAGGTCAACAGACAAACAACATTTCACATACCAATCAGTATCCAACTACACTGCCACCTATAGGGCACTCGGCAGATCTCCAGTGCACTTGCATTTTGCAACACCATGTTCACTGACCCCTACCATTCAATAAGACATACAACAATTCACATAGCAAGCACTATATCAACATCAGGTATAAATACATATATTATTACACAGTAGCAGACGCGTCTGTATATACGTAACTGGTAATATAGTTCACATACATTTTTCACAGCACGCTGCTCACGCAACAGACTTTCCCCTAGCAAGGGGACATACAACATACAAGGTGGGGACAGACCACATTTTCACTTGTACATACGGCACTTAATGGGTTAAGATTGATACATATTTAACCAGTATGGCTACGATGTTTAATAATTACACATCATGGCACTTTACTTTTCACATATACTGTACGTATTAAGATAAGCTTGGTCTATGCCATATTTCCTTATGCCATACTGTTTTATCCATTCAGGTTACAGTTACTACTAAAAAACCTATACGGATTGTCAGGTTCAATACCATACTACCAGGTACATTCACCTGCTCACGTAGTTATCCATCTCTTACCTTCCCTGGAATAGTAATAGTGTACTGGCAATTAGGGTTCTAGGGCCCAATAGGTATTACCCCCTTTTTTCTCTGCATTATGCTTCGGTTAGTGGTCCCGCGAGGCCAACACCCCGCCTCACACTCGGAGGCATACACCCCTCGGGCCACTCGTGAGCTAGCCGCCTCGCATTGTATCATAGAGAGGGCCTCACCTGTCACTCCCCTTCCTATTTTCTGGTTACTGTCACCGAGAGGCCAACATCCTGCCACAATGTTCGGTGGCCACACAAAATCCCCTCGCGCCAAGCATAGATAGAGCCTCTCAAGCCACTTGGCAACTAGCAGGGCCTCACCAGTCACCAAAAAACACCAAGCCTAATCGTTTCGCCTTACGGCTTAGCTAGCAAGCCAGTACAAGAACCCTGGGTACAAATAATTGCATCTTTATTGTTATTTAAGTATTTTTCCAAAAGATGGTGAAGAATCACCTCTTCCTAGCACCCCGGCTAGAACTGATACACCTTCAAGCAGAGGAGATGTTGCTAGTCCTGCAGCAATCAGATCCTGGACGATCCCACACATTACCACCTACCTAAGGAGGTGACAAATCCCCTACCCTGCTACAGCAAGGAAAGCAGGGTTATTCAAACTCCTCCATACATCAACGGACAACACGGAGGCAGGGGAAGGCCCAGCTACATCAACTCAGGTGACACCCAGGCTATTCTAGCCTCACTCATAAACTCATCAGCCAAAAATTTTTATGACAGACTGGCAATCTCGAGTTGGTCACCACAGCCCTCACAAGGCTGGGCCTCACGTTACTGTACAACCAGCACCAACCGAAACTCGGTTACCTGGTACAATCAATTCTTATGACACACAAGATGTTAACCCTGCACGTATGATCCCAGCACATTGGGGAAGCAAGGCATATATATATGTATGATGATGTATCTGTGATGGTCAGATTCAGGGATTCCAGGTAAATCGGGAACTGACCATCTCTTGGATGGGTTGGTATTTGGAATATGTAGAGATGTTTATTTGTGCAGGTACCCATACAGAAGGGGTTCTGTCCCAAACAAATGGACGAGCACTCTCAGGCTCCAGGTACCAGCACCTCTGAACTACCAGAGACACTTGATATGAGTAGTTGCATTGCATATAGACTGTTGCATATATGTTCAAATGGTTCAGGGCACATGACAAACCATGTGGCCCAATACAACTTACAAATAACGTACTCACCATCTGTACACACCAATGCATTTTCAACACTACTGACTCATCACCCTTCCAGACTTGTAGTAGATTTAGTAAAGCTCTGGAGCTTCAAAGGGCTCCCATACAGGTATCATAAACACACCTTCAAGGAATATAGCATGCCCTCACTTACAGTCAGCACAACAAAACCATTGGCTGAAAACACACTCAAAGCCAAGATTTGCAGAGTGGTCTTCTAATCTCCACCATTTACAGCATGGCACCAAACACACACATTGGTATTGTCACAAGGAATCTTCCCTTAAACAAAGACTAACCATAGACTTATTGGCACCACACACCTCCGCTACTCCAAGTCTCAACTCCCTTCTTACTATACAACACCATTGATCTACCTTTACTGCTATCACTCAAGCATGGGTTAAAGCTTGGTTAAGTAAGACCAATATCATCAACGCAGTAAACAGCTACCATCTACCCTACACACTTGCACTTACATGGCATAAATTGGGCAATCCTTTCCCTGCTCAACTTTCGAGCTACAGATTAACCTACTATCGATATTCGCAGATACTCTGTGCTGGTTATGATAACATATCCAGAGGCATTACAGTCATACACTATCTAGAAGACTTCTTGTTGCTCAAAGGAAGCATATTTTTCACTAGAAGCCTTATGGCAGCTTAGTCTGGTTGACCACTTGGGCGTCCCAGTACCCCATAAGAAACAGAAGGCGCAGACACTATCATCACATTACTGGGCATATGACTTGAGTCGGAATCCATACACGCAAGTTACCACAAGACAAATAGGGAACATTCTCAACTAAATCAATCACTACCTCCTGCTTAGTACTTACAACTACAAGGAACTACAATCCCTACCAGGTTCCTTAATTTTGCCATGCCAATCATACCACAAGACCACGCTTTCACATCCAGAGTACTTTCCCCTTTTTTTCCACACTTCCAACATGACGATCAGAGGAGGTGCCTAGACACCTCAGCAACAGCAGACCTGCACATGGGGGGGTATTTCTTAACCACTTGGCATTGTAAAAGCATGTTCCTTCCAGGATTGTCTGACACTTCTCCAACCAGATGGTCAGACGCAGCGTATACCACGGGTTTGGCAGCGATCTACCGGGAACAATTGCTCTGGGGCTGTTGGCCATGGCATCCAGGTTTGGAAATTTTTCCACCACTTCAGCCCCTTTGGGAGATCTACCCCATTGTAGCAGCTGCTGTGGCATGGGGTAAATCATGGTCAAGGTCATCAATCCGTTGTTACTCAGACAACTAAGCACATATCATATCATCAACAAACGCCACTACTCATCCATAAGTTCATGATGTTTCTGGGGAACTCACTTGGTTGGCCACTTATCACATTTCACTTTCATGTACCAGACGGGGTATACATCCCTGCCGACAACTGTCTCATTTATATTCCAGGCATGTTCATCATACGCTTCCTACAGCCGCCCATACAGTCACGTCCACTCTTTCGTTCCAAAGACAAAATCATGGATTAGACATACTCATGCAGCATAGCATGCACTATCCCACCTAGCACTTTCGTCACATACTTGTAGAACGCATAACACAGCTTTTCACCTGGCTTAAAGAATCTCATTGGAACACGACATAGCTCAACCTGTGTCACAAAATTTCTCCTAAGTTTTGCTTAATTTTGCCACCTTAAACTTAAACTATCTCATACACCATTAATTATATATTTTACAGGCATTCAACAACACATGATAACCTATGGCCAAAACTACCATAAACTTCATGCTATCATACCAGAAAGAATATACTCAGAGGTTTTCAGGAATCCATTCCCCCACGTTCCTCTCAGAGGTTACCAATAGCCATCCAACTGTTCATCCTTATCGGACCTATTAGATCTACAACCATTCAATTATACTACCAAGTCGTCCATTACCAGCCATGCACATTGCCTTTTATGCCTTTCTCAGGCCAGAGAATCCACTACCATCACCACCACTCAGACAGATCATTGTCTTCAACGATCCCACGTACGTAAACATATATATCATTACCTATTGGCTCTACCACATTGCGAAATGAGTCAACATGCACCAACAGTAGAGATAACACTACCCACAACAAATGGTGCCCACTTTCGGTCATAGATTCCTACCTTCAAAATCCTTTCAGGAATTAAATACTGTAATGCATTTAAGGAAATGTCTGGTTAATTTGTATATATTTGTTGACTGTATTAAATCTTTGATTATTCATTTTTGCCCTCTTTATTTACAGGCCTACCGTATCGTCGGTATCGGCACACCACAACCGACTTGCTCCCTTTACACTATCCTAAGCTTATGTTGGATCCTTACTCCATATACGGCTATTTTGCCCCTTACACAAGTATTAAGGCAGTTTTGCCTGTATTTGTGGGAGGGGCTTAAATTAATTCACTCCCCTATATAAGGGACACCTCTTACCTGACTCATATCGCTTGAGGTCAGCATCAGAATGACCCTCCCAGCCACTCCTCATTTCAACACTTTCTCTTTTCTTTCCATTTACTTTACTTTCTTACTCCTTGGTGGGCCCTCTTTATTTACAGGCCTACCGTATCGTCGGTATCGGCACACCACAACCGACTTGCTCCCTTTACACTATCCTAAGCTTATGTTGGATCCTTACTCCATATACGGCTATTTTGCCCCTTACACAAATATATATATATATATATGTGTGTGTGTAAATTTATTTGAACTGTATTTTGATATTAATATATATATTTACATTAAAATACACTTAGAATGAAATTATATATCTATCTATCCCCTTAACGACCGTGGACGTACTATGTATGTCCGGCAAAAAAATGGTCGTTAAGGACTGCGGACATACCTAGTACGACAGTGGCAAATAGGAGCCCTGGACTTACGTGGACTGGCGATCCGCAGCACAGTCGGGGGGGGGACTGCCGGAAACCCCAGCAGTCACCCTGCAGCAGCTCCGACCACCCCGGCCCTCAAGGGCCATGTGATCACCATGATCAAATTGCTGCAATAGGAGTCTAGGAGCTGCCATCCCCCAGGCTGCTAAAAATGAAAAAAAAATTAAATTTAAAAATATTATACATCAATATCTATAATATATTATAAAATATAATTTAAGCATTTTATAAAATATTATACATATATAATGCATATATATGATTTCATTATAAGTGTACTTTGAGTTATATACATATATATCTCAAAATACAATTATAATGAAATCATATATATGCATTATATATGTATAATATTTTATAAAATGCTTTAATTATGGCATAACATGTCCACGCCGTCTGGGGGACTTACCTGCTTGCCAGCGATCATACGCCAGCAATCGTGGGGACTTACCTGGCATCCCAGTGAGTCCCCCTGCTGCCTATGCGGCTCTCCTCGGCCATGTGATCGCGAGGTACTTGCGAGGACCTCATGATCACATGAACATTACAATGTTTACACTGCAGCTCTAAGTCTGCCCACAGTGGCTGTCTTCCAGACAGCCACTAGAGGGCTTCCTGAATCAAAACAGACTTTTGGTCTGGTATCTGATGCTGGTTGCCTCACGCTCTGCATGAGGACACCCAGCGTCAGATTTTTCCCCATAGGAATGCATGCGCATTAGCACCCACTCGTCGCAGTCCGTCAGAGGCTCAGCAACAAGGGACATCAGTGCTGGGAAAAGGTAAGTAAATAATGGGTTTTTAACCCATTATTTACCTGGGTGGAGGGAGGCGGTGCGTGAGGGAGGGAGGAGGCAGAGGGAGCTATAGTGCCAGGAATACAGCATTGTATTCCTGGCACTATAGTATCCCTTTAACTTAGGAGAGTCCCTAACCATATTGCTTTTTACCTGCCAGTCCATTTACACTATATAAACAGATTACCCTCTATGTTAGTGACAAGGTTTGCTTGTGTTTTAACAGCAAAACATAATGTGTTATCAAAGATGTCAATCTACACACAGAAGTGGCATATGCAAAAAAACTAAATAATATTGGAGATTGGGCAAAAAACACCATCAAGTTCAGATATTCTGTTTAGAACACTTTACACTTATATACCAAAGTGTGCACACTTACACAATGAGGTGAAATATGCTCAACACTTATATGAAGGATCCCCTTACCCCTCACAACCACATATAACTATATACAAGAAGATATAATTGGAGCTTCAGAGTACCTGGTTATAACATGCATGCACTTGGTTACAATCTCAAACAGAGATCTGTAAATAATATATAACACAAATATAATGCAGATGGTCTGTACAATTGCAATATAAATAAGGAAGTGATAATTCACAATTCACAGGTTTTAGAGCCAATTGATCACCTGGCTCTAGTATATAGTGCTTCGGAATCTTAAGTGAGATCCAGTACCCCCTTGGGTACTCCACCTCCACCTTCAGATTCTTAGGTAAGAATGGACAGGAAACTCCAATAGAAAAAGGATACACTTTTATTGAAGATGAAAAAATAAAAATGATCAATTTGATCAAAAATACTAGTATAGTATAAAATCCAAAATAAGTCCAATGTCCAAACTGTCCAAAATGCGTTTTGCCATTTACTGGCTTCCTCAGTTGGCTGTGTAGTTTGTATGGCGTTCTTTCCATCTTATATATCACTTTCATTGTGAATTTGCCGGCATCCGTGAACCCGGAAGTGACCTCGGTCACAAAAACAAAAACTGTGTAAGCTAAAAAATAAAAATCATGATAAAAAATGGCACAGTTCAAAATCTAGATTGAGACCATAAGGTACTAAAGTGTTAAAATTTAAAATAAATTTCATTTCTTCAATTCCAATTTTTTTTGTAAAATCTCCTCCCCTTCAGTTTTTTTTAACTACCTTCATTGCACAAAATGTGAGATCTTTCGGATTTTGATTATGAAAGTTTTTAAAGTGATGTTAAGTGATGTGAGACGCCAAGAAATTAGAGATAAATTCCAAACATTTATTAGCGAGGGATTAGACAAAAATAATTTAACAGACACAGAAGCCAAATATTTAAATATTTTAAATCCTCAAATTTAAATTGCCTACCTAAAATGCATAAACATCTTACAAATCCCCCTGGAAGACTAATTATTTCTGGGGTAGACAGCGTCTCATCAAGAGTATCGGAATACATTGACATACTACTCCAACCAATAGTAACAAAAAATCCTTCATATCTAAAGGACACTATGCATATTCTACAAATTCTTGGTGATATAAAATGGGAAGATAATTATATATTGGTCACATGCGATGTGAGTTCTCTTTACAGTGTCATCCCACACAACAAGGGGATTGAAGCAGTGCAAAAAAATTTTAATGAGAAGTGATTTTAAACAGGAACAGATAGATTTTATAACCAAAGATATATTTTTAATCCTTACCAACAACTTTTTTTGGTTTAAGGATAGTTTTTTTATGCAAATCAATGGAACGGCGATGGGGACCAATTTCGCGCCCAGTTACGCCAATTTGTTTATGGCGTACTGGGAAGAGACATACATTGCACAGCATGCTGCACATGCGGACTTGATCACCTACCGCCGTTTCATTGATGACATATTTTTTATCTGGAAAGGAGATGAATCTAGTCTCACTGACTTTTTAAGTTTTCTCAATTCTAATGATTGGGGATAACTCTCACCTCCATTTAGAGCAAAAATTAAATACATTTTTTAGATTTAACTATCTTTATAGACAAAGGGGAAATTCACACAAAAAACTATTTTAAAGAAGTAGATTGCAACGGATATATAGAGCTCACAAGCTGCCACCACACTCCATGGCTTACTAATGCTCCCAAAAGCCAATGTATGAAGTTAAAAAGAAACTGCACACAAGAAGGTGATTTTATTACACAAACTCATATAATCAAACACCAGTTCATAGAGAACGGTTACAAAGAAGAAGATCTCCAAACAAGCCTGGAAGAAGTTAAGAGAATGGAAAGAAAAGAATTACTTAAATATAAGAAAAAAAGAAGTGAGGAGGTCAAAAATATGAAAGTTCCGTTCATCTGTAACTTCTCCGCTGGAAATAAGAATGTACGACATGTCATTAATAAATACTGGCACCTTCTACAAGATGACCCCATTTTACAAAATGTATTACCACCAAAACTGAAAATTATACACAGAGGGTGTAAGAATATTAAAAGCATATTAGTAAATAGCAATTATAAAGACCCATTAAATACTAATAACAATAATTTTTTAACCAAGAGCAAAGGTTTTTTTGGCTGTGGAGGGTGCTCAGCATGTAGGGGAACTAATAGCAAAAAAAGACATATAAAAAACACAAATTAATTTACGAAAAAGAATTTCGAAATAAGAGGCCAATTAACTTGTTTCTCCAAAAACATAATTTATTTATTAAAATGTTCTTGTGACTTGTTATATGTAGGGAGAACTATCAGATGTTTACATACTAGAATTTCTGAACATGTGAGAAATATTAAAAAAGGAATAGAAACACATAGTGTCTAACATCACTTTAAAAACTTTCATATTCAAAATCTGAAAGATCTCATATTTTGTGCACTGAAGGTAGTTAAAAAAACTGGAGAGGAGGAGATTTTACACTTTAAATTGTCTTGGTATAAAGTAATTGATGTGAATATTTATGGAATGTTATTTTGTTTTGTAATAATTTCTGCTATTGCTTTAGTATGCTCATATTTCCTGTAATGTTCGAACACAGATGCTTTAGGACTATCTGTAATATTCCAAACACCTCTGAGTGAAGGTATTTCAAGCAGTGGAACGCACAGATGTGTTACACAGAACGAGGAGAGGCACTTCCGTGTCATGTGATCAATATGCGAACGGAACGTGCGTTCCACCTGACAGAACATGCGTTCCACCGAGGTCACTTCCGGGTTCACGGATGCCGGCAAATTCACAATGAAAGCAATATATAAGACGGAAAGAACGCCATATAAACTACACCGACAACTAAGGGAACCAGTAAATGGCGAGATGCGTTTTGGACAGTTTGGACATTGGACTTATTTTGGATTTTATACCATACTAGTATTTTTGATCAAATTGATCATTTTTATTTTTCAATAAAAGTGTATCCTTTTTCCTATTGGAGTTTCCTGTCCATTCTTACCTAAGAATCTGAAGGTGGAGGAGACCAGAAGGAGGTACAAGGGGGTAGTGGATCTCCCTTAAAAGATCACCTATTAGTTTAAGTTTTCACTTTAGGTTCTGGTTTCCCATTTAATATGATGTTTGATGTTGCTCTCACCATTCCTTTTACCCGAAGTTAATTAAATCATTGATTAATGAGTTCCTGACACCTCTGTGGCTCATTCATTACAAGACAAGGAATCACAATGATATATTAAATGATGGTGCTACGTTGCCATGTTTTATTAAATCAGATGTCTCCGATATTTAAATGTTCCGGGTAAATAACTTTGCTTGAATTCACTCTTTGTTAACAGGTGGTAAATAGTTTGTCACAAACTCTCCATAGATACACTGTGTGCAGTTTTGGAAAGGGACACGCTAAGCATTCGGGAAAGCCGGCTCTTTGGAGCAGCTGTCCGTTGGGCCGAGGCAGAGTGCCAGAGACAACAGCTTGCAGACAATGCAGAAAACAAGATGAAGGTTCTAGGCAAGGCATTGTCCTTAATTCGCTTCCCTCTGATGACTGTGGAGGAGTTTGCAGCTGGTAATATTTTTAATATTGTATTGTATCATTAATTTAACCACAAACCAAATCTCCTAGGCCTAGAATTCCTAACTGATAGTTACCACAACTTGAAAAACGTAGAAAGTAAAATAAATATTGAGTAAAAGATGAAGGAGCTATGTTATTTCTCAGCTGATGTATGTGTCTTTAAAAGAATCACTTTGTCTATTTTTTCCCTTGACCCCCTCTGCCTATACCTGTCATCTATGGCTTAAACATCTGCATGCCCATTGACCTTCATTACATCCATGTCCCGCAGGTTCTTTTTTTACCTGCTATAACGCACATCACCCATAGTAATTGTTATAGTCTGCCCATTCTTGTCCTTTTCAGCATGGACTACAACCTAGATCTAGGACTGCCATATTATTATTATTATTATTATTATTATTATTATTATTATTATTATTAGAATTTATATAATGCCAATTTACCCTGTAAGAGGATATATAACAGCAAGTAATTGACAGAAAAAGTGAATGTTGATGGATACAAGAGGTGGAGATCTTGCTCAAAGAAGCCCATAATCTTGGAGATTATTTACAAGGTTTTCTATGGGGCCTGTCCAGGAGTACTGGTTGTACCTCTTGTTATCATAAGGCTTATTTATTTGATTGATAAGGCGGAACAATTCTTGAGGTTTGAAATGGGTGGCTACAATGCCAGCACAGTTTTTTTCCTGTAATTAAATGCATTTGCATACAACAGTGTCTCTTTCACAGAGAGATTCCCACTTTGTTTTTGTCATGGCAGGTCCTGCTCAGGCTGGTATCCTGTCTGATCGGGAAGTGGTAAACCTCTTTCTGCATTTTACAGTAAACCCTAAGCCTCATGTTGACTATACTGATCGTCCACGCTGTTGCCTCCGTGGGAGAGAATGCAGCGTCACCAGATTCCAACAAGTGGAGAGTCGCTGGGGCTACAGTGGGACCAGCGACAGAGTCAGGTGAAGATACAGACACCTATTTATCTGAGATACAGAAATACACACACACACACAACAGGTATAACAGATGTGTATTGTCCAGGAATGTTGTACATATTTCAAAACGTAAAATAATAAATCAGGTTATTTTAATTGTTTACAGGAAATACATTTTCAATATTATTTAGCATGTTTCTACAATTTGACTAGAGGAATCTAATATTTCTTGTTCCTGTTCTTTGTGCTTCCTCTGCAGATCACAAATTGACATTTATATAACTTACTCATTGAATCTGCCCCCCAAAAAATACTACGTGAATAGTAGCCAGACTTTTTTGCATTAATGTGCTTCAACTCCCTAAATTTATATAGAGAACACAAGTTCATTATAGATTAAACCTATGTCAGTTGCACACCAAACAGATCGTAGTCAGGTCAGTCTACTCTAGAAGGAAGATGTCTATAATTCTCTCTGTATGAGACGCCACAGCCTCAGATGATTGTTTCAGACATTTGTAGGCCATGCTAGTGAGGTGTAGGGGATACTCTGCAAGGCACAGTGGTTAATGGAACCCTTTTTTTGAATTAACCTTTTGATTTAAGGAAATTCTTATGAAAAATAGGCCAAAACATGGGAATAGAGAACAATGAGAGAACAAAAACACAATAAGTTTGCCTTTCAGTTAGCCAGCTTCACCTATTAGAAGGGCCTTTCTTGGCATGTTAAAAGGACACTGTAGTCACTATAAGCATTTCATCTCTTTGAATTGGTTATAGTGCATGGAGTGCCCTGGCATTGTCCCTCCATTCGGTGTTGAACCATGTTTGTGCAGTATGCCACAAAATAAGAGTCCCTAGCCACCCACAGTCCGGCCCCTTCAGTATGTGTAGCTAAGGCAGAGATTACACACTTCCTTGTTGTCATACCCATTCATACCGTCAGTTGGAACTCTGACAGGCTAAAAGCAGTCAGCTGACACTCTCAGCCAATCACAGCTGCCCATTGCTGCTCAGGCTAATACTTCCTTATTAGCCAAAGCAGCACAGAGGGGATGGATTGCCTGGGACTCTTGTTTAGCATTAAAGCATTAAAACTTTAAAAACTGTTTAATGCTGAAAGAAATGATGGTACCAGAGGACTCCAGACACTATAACCAGTTGAATGAGATGAAGCAGATACAGTGCCTACGGTGTCCCTTTAAGTCCAGCTACTCTAGTGCCTGGCAGTCCTTCTTTCTTTTCCTCTGTCTTAATCTGAGATTTGGGGATCCTGACAACAGCTAACTTTTATTATGTCTCTGAGAATGCAATGGTCTGAAGTCTAACACAAGTCGAATAAAGTGTGCTAGAGAAGAGAATATATTATTACAGAGAGTATTAATATTAATACCACAGTTTCTAATCAGAATTATATGATGTTCTGTCATCCAGGTTTACAGTAAACAGAAGGATATCGATTGTGGGACTTGGACTGTATGGATCTATTCATGGGCCGACCGACTACCAAGTCAATATTCAGGTATAGTAATAATTTCTTATGTGTATTCAAATATTTTGATTGCTCAATATGTATTGTAGAATTGAAAATAATGCATGCTTGCTAATTGCTTTTCTAAATGTTTTACTAGATTAATCTCTTTCAAACTGTATCAGTGTAAACATTTAGACAACAGGGTGTAATATAAAGCAGTGAAAGTAAAAGTGTTACTCTAAGCACCATATCCACTTTAGCTTTCTGAAGAGGATGTGTTGAAGGGACCTAGGAGATGCAAACACTGCTATTGCTGATATATTTAGTTTTTCTTACTGGGATGTAGTTCTGGGTAAATGCCTGGTGGGCCACGATGGCCAGGGACCAAGGCCGACAGGGGAGATCAAGGGAAGCAACTATAGGGCTGGTGCTTCCTGACCTCCAGCCCATAGAGGATGCTCTAGATCTCGCTCACTACATGCTCACTGTATGTGCAGGCTGTATAGCCTGATGCACTGTGCGGACCCAGTGCAAATGGTCTATAGTATACCAACTAGCGGTGTAGACCAAATACCTCATCCATTGGACCACCAAGGAATATGATTCCTCTCCGGCTCCTCCTCCTCCAACTAAGGCTCAAGGTAAGGAAGGGGAATGGGGGAGTAAACCCAGCAGCCCCTGCACCCACCTCACCCAGCAGCCCCCTCTCACTCAGTAGCCCCTATCCCCTCTCACCCAGTAGCCCCCTCTCACTCAATAGCCCCTACCCCCTCTCACCCAGCATCTCTTCCCCTCTCACTCAGCAGCCCTTGCCCCCTCACCCAGCAGCCTCTGCCCCCCCTCTCACCCAGTAGTCCCCGCGCACCCAGCATCCCATGCCCCATCACCAAGCAGCCCCTGCCACCCTTGCCAAGTAGCTCCTGCCCCCTCTCACTCAGTAGTCCCATCTCACCCATCAGCCCCTACCACCAATCACCCAGCAGCCCTCTCATCCAGCAGCCCCCACTCACCCAGTAGCCCCCCCACCTCTCTCTTACTGAATTTAAACAGAACCAAAACACCAATAGCTTAATGAAGCAGTTTTGATATATAGATCATGCCCCTGCAGTCTCACTGCTGAATTTGCTGCCATTTAGGAGTTAAATAATTTTGCTTATGCAGCTCTGACAATACTTCTCCTGAATGTAACAAAAAAGTGTTATTTTTACAGCACAGTGTGCTTACTGTGTGAATGTGTGAATTTTAAAGGGGTTTTTAAGCCCTTTTTAAAACTTTTTTTTGGTTAAATTATTTTTAAAACGTAGCAGCAAATTGAAGCATAAACTTTAATGACACCAGCACCGTGGGAAGCTCTCCATGACATCAATCCTTCCTTCATGAGGTCCAATCAAATGTGGTCATGGTGGTAAAAGTGACCCTTTAAGCACAGTGTGCAGGAGATTAAAAATTCTAAATGAAACACATTGTGCAATGAGGGAACCTGAAACATGTGTGCTACCTTTCAGGAAGTATGTAGGAAGGCTGTGTGATCCTCAGCCAGCGGAAGTATGATCAGAGCTGCATAAGCAAAGTGATTTAAGTTCTAAATGACAGAGAATTGATCAGTGAGTTTGCAAGAGTATGATCTATACATCAAAACTGCAATATGAAGATAACGTTGTTTTGATTCTTAGTGTGTTCCTTTAACTCTTTTATTCTTGATCAATAAATGGTGACCAAATGTAACAAGTAACAGTGTAGCTAAACAGTAAATTGTGGTGAAATAAACAAACAAAAGAAATTCAGGTTAAATCAGATAAAGTGTAGACATAGCAGAAGTAAAAAAAAAAATACAATCTAGCTATTGTAGCCTAAAATGTTTAATTCCATTAAATGCAGTGTTTTGTCAATAGCCCAAGTGAAATATGAAGATATATGTGCCCTGTTCATCTTCCTTTACATTACGTGTCTTGTGTTTTTTAAACAGATTATTGATTATGAGAAGAATCAAACTGTGGGACAAAACGATACAGGCTTTAATTGTGATGGAACATCTAATATATTTAGGGTTATGTTTAAAGAAGCTATTGAGATTTTGCCAAATGTTTGCTACACACTCTGTGCTACCCTTAAAGTAAGCTATACATTTTTTTAAATAATCATATATAAGTACTGAATATTTATCAGATCTCTGATTTCCTTTTTTTAATTAATATATTTTTTTTTATTTTTCCAGGGACCGGATTCTCATTATGGTACAAAAGGTTTAAAGAAGATCATTTATGAACTTCCAACAGGGGGCAAGACTTGCTTTAATTTTTTCAGTTCCCCTGGTAATAACAATGGAACCTCAGTGGAAGATGGTCAGATTCCAGAAATAATCTTCCATACATGACAGTGTTAAATGCTGAGCTGAAACATTTCGTACCTTGTTAAACATATTAAATTCTTATTTTATTTTGACTATGGCTGTCTGAATGTACAAAAAAGATGTCCAACATGCAGAATTGTATTAATATGGAATGGCAACTGTCTGTAAAATAATTTATTGTTTAACTACAATCCATAATGTGTTTGGTGGATGAGTGTTGAATGTGTGTGGGAGTGTGTTAAGTGGCTGAATGTGTCTGTGTGTTGTGTGGGTCTTTGACCCCTCTTGCATACCTTTCCCTGGTGGTCCATTGAAGAGCTATTTCTGATGGTTTGGTCGGGGAGAATTGCGGTCTGCACCAACATCAGGTGCAAATCACTTTAAGAGCTCTGATGTGGTCTGGCACTCAATTAGTGACTCAGAGTGCCAACTGCAGCACTCTAAGTAACCAACAATTGCCAAGGAACTGCGAAGGAGCTCTTAAAGTGGTCTGTAGGCAATATTGGTGCAGACCGAAATGCTCCTTCAAGCAGGTGAGTGGGCTCAGAGTCGAGTAAATATAACTTTTTGATCTCCCTGCTGGCTCAAGGAGAGCCCCCTGATCACTGTGTTCAGTTGAATGGGGTGGGACCATGCACAGATCACTGTGTTCAGTTAAATGGGGTAGGACCATGCACAGATCACTGTGTTCAGTTAAATGGAGTAGGACCATGCACAGATCACTGTGTTCAGTTGAATGGGATGGGACCATGTACAGATCACTGTGTTCAGTTGAATGGGGTGGCACCATGCACAGATCACTGTGTTTAGTTGAATGGGGTAGGACCATGCACAGATCACCGTGTTCAGTTGAATGGGGTGGGACCATGCACACATCACTGTGTTCAGTTGAATGGGGTGGGACCATGCACAGATCACTGTGTTCAGTTGAATGGGGTGGGACCATGCACAGATCACTGTGTTCAGTTGAATGGGTAGGACCATGCACAGATCACTGTGTTCAGTTGAATGGGGTAGGACCATGCACACATCACTGTGTTCAGTTGAATGGGGTGGGACCATGCACAGATCACTGTGTTCAGTTGAATGGGGTGGGACCATGCACAGATCACTGTGTTCAGTTGAATGGGTTAGGACCATGCACAGATCACTGTGTTCAGTTGAATGGGGTAGGACCATGCACAGATCACTGTGTTCAGTTGAATGGGGTGGGACCATGCACAGATCACTGTGTTCAGTTGAATGGGGTAGGACCATGCACAGATCACTGTGTTCAGTTAAATGGGGTAGGACCATGCACAGATCACTGTATTCAGTTGAATGGGGTGGGACCATGCACAGATCAGGCCCCTCATACTGAATACAGTCTGCTTCATCAGAACAGTTCCATTTGGTAGAAAGGGATGCTTGACTTCACATTATTAAGATGGTAACTGTTCCAATGTAAGAAGATGTTAGAAGATGTAAATATAAAGTACTAACTGGTGCTCATTCTCTATACCTGTCTCTTTCTCTTCATTGGCTTATTGTGGACCATGGAAACTTTAGTTTAGTGCAGAACAGAAGTGTGGAGATTTTAGGTGAAGCCCTCAAAGGCTTGTACAGGGAAATATTTCGACAATGACGGGGCCTAGGCACTTTCATTGCTGTCTCTGTGGGCTATTCTTCCTGTAACTCCGCCTGTAGTTCATGCTTTTTGATACAATCTTGGACTTTGTGTCGATTTGTTCTAACAATTGGCAGCTGATTACATTTCAAGTGTAACATTACAGTTTATGTTTCAAATAAGTACTGTATCAGGTTTCCCAGTATACTGTGGCTGAAATGTCTTTCCAGCATCAAAGCAATATACACAGAAGAGAAAGAACACAACTTAGACTGAAATAGCTCATTATTGACTTTTAATCAGCATTGCTTTTTACAATATTCCAAACAACTGTTAAAGTCCTAAAGCCCTATTAAGCATGATTGTTTAAAATGCTAAACATTTAAAACGCTCCCCCCCCCCTTCCCCAAACGCTAAAATAAATAATAAACTAAGCAAAAACTTACCTGAAATTCCGTGCCAGGTAAAGCTCTTGGTACTGCTCGGCACTCTCCAGTCTGATGTCAGAGAAGCCTTTGATTGAACATTTCAAATGTCTTAGAGCTGAGAGGGGAGAGCAAGAGGAAGGAGCAGAGAGAAAAGGAGGCAGGGAAAATTAAAATACAAAAAAATATCGAAGGGTATAGGGAGACAAAGAGGGCTTCCGCCTAGGAAGAATGACAATTGCTCTGGACATATTTCTTTACACAGAATTGACATTTGTCCGTGAGGCACAGAGTTCTCGACTACCAAAGTCATGTGGTCATGGGTGTAACAAAAGTGCAAATATGTTCAAGGTGAAATTCTGCTACCACCATGACCATTTCTAAAAAAAAAAAAGTGGTCATGGTAGTTGGATTAACCCTTTAACCCCTTAAGGACACATGACATGTGTGACATGTCATGATTCCCTTTTATTCCAGAAGTTTGGTCCTTAAGGGGTTAAAGGGACATTCAATTCACCAGAACAACTACAGCTTAATCTAGTTGTTCTGGTGAGTGTAGCCTGTCTATGCAGGCTTTTTGCTATGAACATTACTGTGATGGTACAACCCTCTCTGACCGTCTTGGGTTCCCTTTCTCCCAGTAGTTAGCGAATAATCCTTCCAGGCAGAGTGTAGACACAAGCATAGCATAACCCTCCACACATGAGCTGGGGCTTAATGCTGGATAGAGATCTGTTTAATGGTACACAAAGCAACAGTATTCATGCAGTAAAACCACTCCTGCTCTGAGGAAAACAAAATGACAGTTAAAAGGGTCAGACAGAGTTTGACAATATAACAGTTATTAAGGGTTTAAACTGGTGTACTAAGAGGGTGGAGAACAAAACAATCGAACTAAGTTCATAAAGCAGGGGTTTTCTTCACAATTACCTTTTCAGAGAAAAGGCAGTATTTACATTGCTCCTTAGGGATACCTCTAGTGGCAGTCACTCAGATGCTTCTTGGGTCAGTGCTGCACACGTTCAGCATCTGCTGAACATTCCCTATAGAGATGCATTGGTGTTCATATTCTGATGATCTCAGCCAAAGAGGCAGATCGGGGGTGGAACTAGCACCTGTGTTCCTGCGCAGCGCTGCAGCAAAGTTGAGTTTTTTTATTTTTTTAAGAGGGGCCAGCTACCTAAATAGTGTTTTTAACACTACATTGTCAGGAATACATGTTTGTATTCTATAGTGTTTCTTTAAGTGTTCATTTTATGTTGTGTGTCCTAATGTTCGTTTGCTCCTCATATATTAAAACCACCAGGAAATAGTGATTTCCACAATTACTATCCAATATAAATTGCTTTTTCCGTTTCCTGTAGATCTGCCTAGTTGAGCACTGTGTAAAGATTGTAACTGAATAAATCCCCAAAAATCTGCGATAGCTAGACACTTAAATATATTATAGGATCTGCTACCGCATTAGTGTAAGTTCTTCCCAAACTTTACGCACACAATTCATGCAAAAAACCCCACAAGATAACAACAGCCAACACCAGTAAAATAAGTGGAACATTTAATATGTGCAAAAAACACACTGACCCCTCTCTTGCGCATTTCACCAACTAGCAGTTTTCTCAATCAAGAAAGCTATTAGTCAGCTAAATGCACCTCGAAGGGGAGAGCCCGAATACTTTTTATTGCTTTTTATATTATATTATTGTTTCTCCACTAAACACATTTGCGATTTCACCTAGAGTGTGAGACTGGTTTTGGAAGGCTATAGTTAAGGTGCACAGTTCTGTCTCCTTTTTTTAAAGGGATGTTATAGTGCTAGGAATATAAAGTTGTATACTGTTGCTCCAGCTAACTCCACATTCCCCCCCCCCTTCTCCCCGTTAAAGGGTTAAATGCCTTTTATTTACTTATCTTATCCCAGCCGACACTCTGCCCCATCCGAGGGGAGGCAGAATTAGTGCTGCTATGTAAACATTGCAGTTTCTCTGGTACTGAAATATTTTACATTGCAGCACTACGTGCAAAGGGACACTTCACCCAGACCACTTCAATGAGCTGAAGTGGTCTGGGTGCCTACAGTGTCCCTTTAAATAGTTTCCAGCCTTACTTACTGTGCCTACAGTGTCCCTTTAACCCCTTAAATAGTTTCCAGCCTTACTTACTAAACTAGAAACAATATTGTTTTATTTTGTTTGAGTTCCTCTCTGTAGAAGATTGGAAGGGGTCTGTGTCACCATAGTACACAGCTGTCACAGTGATTTGAGCCTATCCACTTCAGACACCTTATTTACATTTTATCTTCCATTGCCCATATTACACTATATACTTCTTTATTTTTGCTCTATTTGAGACACCCCCATACTAGAGAGGGGTAAGTGTTTTTTTTTTCCATTTTGGAAAGTTGGTATTATATACTGGTGTTGGCTGCTGTCACCTTGCCACTCAGTTGTTGTGGTTTTTGTATAACTATTATATGTCTATGATTATAACTGCAGGACCGAGTTTGCAATGCATTAAACTCCTGACGTCACTGCAGACGCTGCTTTCCCAATGACCACTGGCCGATGTTAGCGCGCCCCCTGCTGCCTAGCTAGCGACACTGCCACTATCTATAGCACTATGCACAAAGTGGGCGGGGCTTTCGCCTTTGAGCGTCACTGCAAACTCCCTGATCTTAATAACTTAATGCAACCGGAAGTCGTGCTTCTGCACAGTCTGTGTCTCCAGTAAAATGGCGGCTGCCGCGGAGGTTTCTGGGAGAGTCTCTGGCTGAGGCTTGTTGCAGGTTCCATGTTACAGAGGTTGGCTCGCCCGCCGCCGGCTGTAGGGCTGACAGCTGTCATTACCCGGGCGGCAGCCAGTGGCCGGACCGCAGCCATGCCGAGAAAAGAGAGCAAGGAGGTGAATACCCCGAGAACAAAGCACTTCGCCTGGGGGCTTATTCACTAAGCTGCGAGCTGCCTCGGCGATAGCAAGCTGTGGGACGGTACAGCGGATATAGCCTTAACATAGCTTGGAGACAACTTTACCTCCATGTTTGGGACTCCCCAGTCAGTTCCCTTACAGAAAGCATAATAATATAACTGGTGAACCCCCTCCCCTGACAGTGAGTTAATTAGCCAGCTAGTATGGGAACATGGATCACTATCACCAAACACAACAACACTAAGATGTCTGATGGCTAATAAAGTATTAAGGGTTAAAGCAACATTCCAAGTACCATAACCACTTTGACATGGGAGGGTACCTGGACACACCTGGTGCCAGTGACCACTGTAGGGTATTGGTGAAATATGTTTAAACAAATATTATAAATATATATCCATTTCTTAATCTGTATAAGTTACAATACTAATTTTTTTTTATTAAACCCTTTAAGTGTATTTAAACTTACCTGTAACTCATTGCAAAAACAGACTCTTCATTGCACTCCTATACCCCTGCCAGGCAGTTTTTACAATAATCTGGCTGGCCTAACCCAATACGTCTCACAGGGTTATACACTAAAGTGAAATTTTGTCCAGAATTCAAAGTGAATTCTAAATTTATGGCCAAAATGGCTGAATTTTAAAAATTCTCCCAAATTAGCTATGCTTCCAGCTTGGCTATTTTGCCGTAAAATTTGAAATCTTCTTTGAATTCCTAACAGTTCTCCCTTTAGGGAATCACCCATGCATGCTCACACCAGAAGTAAAATAGTTAATTTTCGAATGTATTTGAGTATAAAGAGGACCCTATCTGCTGTCTGACACCCACCAGAGACGTGTTAATTGCAATATGTAGGAGCACTGCAACCACCATAACAACAAAATGAAACATCCTTGTTATAGTGTCTAAAACAGAGGGTTTGGCCTTTGTTCCTGGGATTCTCGCCTAGCTGTTTGGCAGCACGATATAAAGATGATGTTGTTAGTACTAGGAAACAGGACCCTTTTTAAAAAAAGAAAAAATATTTTAAAATTTTTTATTTGATTTATTTTAAGAGTTGTGTTTCCAAATATATTGGGCATGCTTGCTTAGATTGATATGCTTATTTACTTTGAAGGGAAAAGGACATAAGAAAGGTTCCACACAACCTTCTACACTCGCACCAGCGGATCCAGTTGGAAGAGACAAGAATGGGGCGGTTACCATTGCTATTCATGCCAAGCCTGGCTCTAAACAAAATGCGATAACAGGTATCCTGTTGCAAAAAATCTGTCTGTCTATCCTTAGATTGTGTGTCTGTCTCCAAATTCCAACTGTGCTGGGAGAGTAATGATCTAACTCCAAACATTCAGCCAGCAGCAGGGGTAGAATGGACTTTAAAGGGAACCCAAAAAAAATATTTACATCTTTCTGTCCTATGTTTTCATTTGGCTGTTTTACCAACTTTAGGTAATCACAGGTGCGTGTTATAGGGCCAAACATGACATACATTGGTGCTGTGGAAGGCTCATGCAATGTATGATTATATTTTGCAAAGATAAATTATTTTATGAACTGTAAAGGCTGGTTTGGAATGCAGTTAGCTGTATTTTACATAAATTATCAACTGGCCCCAATAGGTGCCTTACGATGTATGAATGATGCTTGTCTGTTAAATGTGAATTTCTCAGCCAGTAGCAAGTATAGATTATAGCCAAGCTTAAAATGTGACAATTAGGGTTACACAGAGGAAATGAGAAGTGGAATAGAATTACATGGCTCATCATTCCCATCAAATTACTGCCTTAATAAATTGACTAGAACTCTAGCTACGATTATCTGTATTATACCAACTTAAGGCATCAAGCACATCCAAATGGAATCTTTACATCCCTACATTAGTACCAGCCCACAATAACTTACAATTCTTACCTGATTCTTATCCTTCTACCCTATATGACCATGTAAAGCAAATAGTCACACCAACAACAATACAGGCTCTCAAATTATTACTAAAGTCTCCTTTCAAGGAAAGGAACATTAATGTTTTAGTACAGCCTATACTATGCTAGACTGGCTTATTTAATATTCAGCTGGGACCCACAGCAGCCACCTGCTCTACAGCCACCAGGGTCTCAGATATTTTGCTAGAGATTCATACAGCACCTTCCTACACTACATTGAAAGGTGTGTGGGGACAGGGTGTTGGTTAATTCTGGGGAGGAAGGCACCTGGGCATTGTATAAAGGAAAGAGCAACTGGGGCATAGTTATGCCTCTCTCTTCTTCATTAATGTTACCTACACTCCACAGCAGTGGATACGGATGGTCCAAAAAGCTCCATCTGGGTTGGTAGGTAACTTTCTGGACCCTCGTTTGCAATGTATGGGTAAGAGCAATGCAAGGAGGGAGTAGTCCGAACTTCCTTACTCTATCTGTACCTTACAACCTGGTTGAATGAAACAGGTCAGAAGAGTCCCTTGCCCTCCCTCCCAATACACGTATCTCTTCTCTTCGATTGTTATTTTATTGACAATGGAAGATTAAACCAAATATCTAATAGTGGAATTTTTTTCTTAAAAAAAAGTGGATGAAACTGATGACCCACAACTTTATTCATTTGACTCTGATATTTTTGCCTGGCCTGGTGTTTACCATCCTGGGTGCATCTAAGCTAAATTGAATTAACCGAGGGTCAAGGTCCAATATTAAGTCATAGTGTATGTTAGTGTCTCTCACTTGATATTAGTCTAAGCTTTGAGTGATAAATCCACTTCTATACAATGTCTAGATATTTTTGTGAAGTTCGACATTTCCATAAAGCTGTAAATTTGGAACAATTCTTTGTAAAATACCATTGTTTTTTGTGTTCTTTAATATGTATCTGGTGTTTTTGTTTAGATGTAACGCCTGAAGCTGTAGGTGTTGCCATTGCTGCTCCTCCAACAGAAGGTGAGGCAAATGCAGAGTTGTGTCGCTATCTTTCAAAGGTTCTTGAAGTAAAGAAAAGTGAAGTTGTTCTTGATAAGGTATGTACTGTTCATATCCAGAATATTATGCATGGATATTTCAAAGAAAATCCACAACCCGTATTCGCTCTAGTAGGAAGTGTACTGAAATATACTTATTCAATTGTATGTACTATATCATTTTCTTCTTCACGTATGGAATTAGTTCACCCATGCAGTTTTTTTGTGGCTGTACTGTTTATACACTCAGACACTATCTACCAGATTGTGGTTGTTATAGAAATAGGTATACCTATACTCTCTGCTGATAATGGAATAATTACTAAACTATACACAGTATGATAATCCTCCACCTGTATATAAATACCTCGTTTTCTTTTTCATCATATTTATGAAATTCACAGTTAATGTTTAACAATTCCCTTAAAATGTATAGTTTTCTTCATAACTTTGTAGTACTTATTAATAAATATATTTATTTTTTCCATTGCTTAACAGGGAGGAAAATCTCGAGAGAAAATAGTGAAAATTTCAGCTGCAATTACCCCAGAAGATGTTTTGGAAAAGTTAAAGAAGGAAGCATCTGGAAGCTGAGAGAAACAAATTATGAAATGATCTGCAAGGAACCATTTTAAGAAGGTTTACATATTTTTAAAGGGGCACAACACTCATCCCTAAAACATCTAATAGCAAAACTGAATGCAGCATTGTGTATGATGTAATCTCATATTTGTATCCATTTTTTGTGGGACTCTCCAGGAACTTAAACGACAAAATCTACCTAAAAGAGCATCATATAAACACATACGGTAATTTAGTTTTTCATGAATCTAGATGCATGTTTGAAAACCCCCCAAAAACAACAAAACTGCAATGCCTGTCATTTCCACGGGTTACTGTTGATTAAGTAGCAATAGTGAAACACGTGCAACATTTTAAAACCAGTCTACATCGAGATACTGCTCCTACACAGTTTGTACAACAACGGAATGCTAATATGTACATAAACCATCAGACTTTAGAACCTTTTTTTCTAAATGTGACCATTAAAACATTTTTTTACCATGCTTTTTTTTTTTTTTTATAATTATGTTGTGTATTCTTTGATGATATGGCCTAAAATTAAAGTGTAAATGCTACATCTGAGCTATATTCACCATTAATATTTAAATTAACACTATCTTTGGGTTGTGGTTTTCTCTTTCTTTTTTACACAGCCAGCATATACCATATAAATTAATCCCCTGTGGTGCCATATTCAAATGACAATAGGCTCATATCTCTACTAAAATCCACAAAAGGTATTGAATGCCTCTAGTTTGATGTATTTCTTTTTGACCGCATTACATTCTCATCCATCTACATTGAGAGTTGTGAGGCTAGTTACAAAGACTGCCTTATGGGGAAAGGGTGGATCTATTTATCCCAATTCAGAGATATATTTCCTGTCCTTTCTGCTGTGAGGGGAGGAGCTGTTTTTGTAGTTGATCCGAAAGAAGGTAAAATCACTTCCAATTTTGCAACAAACTAGGAAAACAATCCTTCTTGACCCCAGAACGACAGTCTAATCTCTCCTTGGATCAATAAGCTATTACCCCACAAATTAAAAACTATATCCCTGAATATTATGTTTTTGTGTGTATACATCCAGTTGCTGTTTAATCATTTGCACAGTCTCTGATAAAACCACCTATTCAGGCAGAGAATTCCACATCTTTGTTCCTACTGTAAAAAAAAAAACCTAACTTTTCTTTCCTTTCTTTCAGTCTAAATTGTGTCCTATGTATAGTCCTGTTTATGAATAGATTTCTAGACAATGGTTTGTATTGGCCCCAAATGTATTTGTATAACGCTATCATATGCCCTCTGAGGTGTCGTGTTTTCTTTCTTTCTTTCTAAACTACAGAGGTTTACATTTGTTAACCTTCATAACTAAAATGTTACATTCCTTTCATTAATCTTGTAGCCTGCCTCTTCACTTTTTCTAGTGCCATCATATCCTTTTTTAGAACAGTTGCCTAAAACTGCACAGCATATTTAAGGATAATTATATTTTTATCCCAAGAATGAATGCCTTACTAGTATTAGCAACTATTGATTTACATTATTGCCTAGAGCAGTGGTTCCCAACCGTTTTTCACTTGAGAACCCCATGGCAGCCTATTTTCATAAATCGTACCTCTCCCATTTTTCTCTGTCCCATCGACTCTTTTTCTCTGCACCATACACTGACACACTTAAGGATACATACTCTGTATGTGTGTTAGGAGTGCTGTTTGTGAAAGGTGCTCTGTCTGTGTGAGTGGTGCTGTGTTTATTTTTATTTTATGTTTTATTGTAGCATATAGGCAACTGTACAGAAAAAAAAGGCATATCATGCTACTTTGTTAGTGCATTCAAAAGTATGTTATGAACAGTGACAGTTGACAATATAAAATATGATAGGTCTTGCCCGCCGCCCCTCAGGTGGGTGCTGTGGTACAGGGTTTGCCCTTGTTGAACTCTGCATGCCGGGGGTAGAAGAGGTCTTCCATGTCGCTCTCCTCCGATGCAATATCAGAGTCCTCCCTCGCTGGTGCCATTTTAGTAGACCACGATTGTAGAGTCACTCTGAGCTATGTGCCTATATCTTGTGAAGAAAAGGCCGTATCGCTTCTTCTGAGTTTAGTCTTTTTCCCAATAGTGTCTGGACGTCTTTTGGGTGATTATCGGGCGATATTACTAGGTATATGCCTTTATAAATCAATGCTCCCTCAGGGAGCTCTTTGCATGTGCGTCTGCTTCGATCGCGGGCTAGCTCCGTGTTTGTGTTGTGAGTGGTGCTGTATTTGTAAAGGGTGCTTTGTATGTGTGTGAGGTGTGCTGCATTTGTGTGTGAGGGGTGCAGTATGTGACGGTGTAGGCCTATATATGGGGGGAAGAGGGGGAAAGAGAATTTAAAAAAATAAAAAGTAAACAACATTTATGTCCCCTCTGCTTTGATCTCCCCACTGACCCATGAAGGCATACAGCAGGGCCAGCGCCCTGATAGCGCTGGCCCACCTAGGGCTGGAAGGGGAGATCCTGTGATCTCCCCTGTCGGCCCATGGCCATCACGGCACACTGGGCATTTGCCTGATGGCTGGGTTCCCAGCCCCTGGGGCACTGAATTGTACCCCTGGGGGGTAAACGTACCATGGCTTGGGAATCCTTCTCGTGTGTTATCCGCAATTCACTACCATTTAGGGTATAAATTGCTTGAACACTCTTTACACCGTAATGTATAACTCTGAATTTATCTACATTACATTTAAAGTGTCCAGTCCTCCAGTGCAGTCATATCCTACTCACATTGTATTATTTTACAGAGTATTGTGTATTCTGTAAACACTGAAGCATGAATTTCAATGCCAATTTCAAGATAATTTATAAATGTTATATAGAACAGAGAACAGAACCCTGAGGGACACCACTTTTGTCCAGCTTAAACATTTACAGTCAATGACAACTCTCTGTACTCCATCTTTAAGCCAACGTTCTACCCAAGAATAAGCATTTTCATCTAGACCAAATTTCTTTTAGTTTCAACACTAACCAAATTGTATGGAACGGTATTGAACACCTTGGCGAAATCCAAGCATATCACATCCACTGCAACACCCTGATCTATACTGTAAGAAATTGATATGCAAAACTTTACTATTGTATATAAACTTTCTATGTATGTGACTGGTTTCACAACGTGGGGTCATCTACTTGATAACAGTGTGATAAGGATTAAATCTTTCAGTTGCATTTTACAACACCCAGCTAAAACAAAAGATTACATCCCTCCAACAGTTCTCCTGTCAACCAGTTTTCCATGCATGTTATCAGAAGATCAGAGTAATGAACATCTAAGTGTAACCATTGAAGAGTGTGTTGTCCCAAGCTATCCTGTCTCTAAAAGTAGTCCAGGCCTGCTCCCAAATTACCAAAAACCAACCCTAACTGGTCACATCTTACACAATGTTACAGTGTAGCTGGAGGGAAGAGATCAAAGGGAAAGACTTGTGTAAAGATGGAACGCTCTGGAAAAAGGGGGCGGGATAAACCACTTTTGGAAAGGGAAAAGGGATTCTGGGACTTGTAGTTAATGACTGCAAGAATCAGTCTTTAAAAGAACAGCCAAGGAGGTTGGGCTCTTCTCCTCTCTCTTAGTCTCTTTTGGGGAGGACAGCGCAGCAAGCAGTGGTGCCATGGTGAACTGAGACTACCAAAGATGAGGGCGCAAGGGGAAGATCTTCATTTAATGCTTAAGTATTGCCCTTTTACTATGTATCTTTTGGATTTGGGCTGGATGTGGTTATAATGTGTATATCCTTCTAAAATCTGTAACAGTATCCTAAATCAATATTAACAATACATTTTATTATACACTTGTGTTTGTGTCTTATTTGTCACACATTCCCTAAAGGAATATCCTTGTAAGAGGGTCATAATTTCTTACAATACTTCTACTCACTTCTTGATAGAATGCAATTAAGTTAGTTTGACATAACCTATGTTTCATAAAATCAAGCTGATCTTCTCTAGTAACTATACAGACAATTTTAATAGTAGGGTAAAGATACCTCAGAACTATCCTTGATAGCTTACTTATGATTGCCATGAGTACATATAATTTATTAATCAAGAAATTATGCTCACATTCCAACTGTATCGCATTTAAAGGTAAGATATGACTTGCAAACTCGTTATACGCTCGCTTTCCAAAGCAGATAACGATCCACTAGACACCCTTGTGTATTTTGTGCTGCTCTGTGAAGCTTTCATATTTAATACTGAAGTAACCCACCCCTTTTTTCTTTTCAGAAGGAGAAATAATATCAAATCTATACAGTGCAGCTAATCTCTTATTTATTTTTTAAGAAAAACAACGCAAGATAAAAGTAAGACTAAAATAGTTACAAAAAATAAAGTTCATGTGTTTCTCCTTAATATCTTCCAGAGTGAAATCTTTGGCTGTCAGGGTTATTATATCCATAACGCCCTTCTTGTCTGTATTCATTGTAATGATTACCCCATCCTCTCCCACCACGTGGCTGATTGTAATTATGTGACCAATCTCGTCTTCCTTCCCATTCTCTACGTGGTCTGTTATCTCGATACCTGAGAAAACAGACAAATGAAAAACATGTTTGTTAAAAATTCTACATAAAAGAGAAGCACAAACAGAAAAATCTAACATGTTCAGTCCCTTAATGACAAATGTATGTTGACACCTGCTTCTACACACACAAAAAAGCAAATGTAAGTGAATTTATTTCAGAAATTTGGAAGGGAATATGATGAAATAAATTAAATAGGAATAAAATCTTTATCACTTACAATAACAAAAATCAAGAATAAAATCACTGATATTAAGAGGGACACTGTAGGCACTATAACCATTTTCAGCTCATTGAATTAACTATAAATCATCTGGCACTGTTCTTCAATTCAGTGTTAAAGAATTGTCAAGCAATTTAACACTTAGTAAGAGACCCTGTTCATTCACAGCCGACTGGCCTCCACTGGAGGTAACACTTCCTTCTAGCCATATCAATTTATAGCAGCAATGGGCACTGTGATAGGCTGAAACCAGTCAGCTGACAATGTTGGCGGCCCACTGCTGCTCCGGCTGTCTTCTCATTAGACCAAGCAGCACACAGGGTGTGGACTGTTGGGGCTCCTGTATTGAATTAAAAGCTGTTTAATGATTACTGGACGATTAGCCAAGAGATTCTAGACACTATAACCACTTCAATGAGATGGATAATTTTCAGTACCTACAGTGTTCCTTTAAAATTATTGGGATGTAAAAGAATCAAAGAACAGCTACCTATCCTGGTGTCTTTGGTTGCCCATCTTCCAGTTTTCCACAATTGGGGGTATCTCTTGTGGCCTTTTTACATATTCCTGATATTCTATGTCATCTGCCGTAAAGCGGTGAGAAAACATCTCTTCAAACATCTGAGGATCAGAAGTGCTGCTCATCCTGAATCTTAACAGGAAGAATAAGTAAAATGTTTACACGTAAAGAAGAACACAATAACAATTCAGAAAAAGGAATTTGTTTCATTGCAACTAGATATCACACTTAATATACAATGCTCCATAACATATGTTTTAGTAAGTATGGGAATGTATACATCCCTTATTCTTTTTGTGTATTAGCTGTACATTGTTAATGGGACAAAGAATAATGAAAATATTTATATACTGCAGCACGTGTTACCCTTTTTACCCAGTTCAGGACTTTCCAAGTTTAATACATATTGCCTCCCACCCATAAAAAAAAAAAAAAAAGTTGTGCATTTCATTCACCTATTGTACATTGCTGAAGAATATGCACTATGCAAATTATTCCTACTTTTGCAATCTCAACAGACTAGAAATACACACATCAAGGTTCAGAATAAAACAGAAGGCAGTGGTGTGGACTTGATAGACAAGTACCCCCTTTTCAAAACCTCGACAATGCTCATCGAATCCAAGGATTAAAAAAAAAAAAAAAAAATGAACGCTTTTAGTATTGTGATAAGCTCCCACGTACATATGATTTATGTCACATTTATGGGACACTATAGGCACCCAGACCACTTCCTCTCCTTGAAGTAGTTTGGTGTAGTGTCCTTGTTCCCTTAACCCTGCAATGTAAAACATTGGGGTTTAAAAAAAATTAAAAAAAAAAATAAAAAATAAAAAATACCTCTAGTGGCTGTTTACGAGACACCACTAAAGGCGCTTCCTGCAGTTTCCCAGAGTTTAACTCTGTGAAATGATGCTGGAGGTCCTCAAGATTTGCAGAAGGACCTCCAGCGTGTGAAAATGGGTAAGTGATTTTTAAGCCTATACATCGCTGGGAGGAGGGGGGGGTTAGGTGTGTAAAGAAGATTCCTTTAGTGCTAAAAATACAAAGCTGTATTCCTAACACTATAGTTTTCTTTTAACCTTTTCAACGTAATTCCATTGAAAGCATGAAGCCTGACCTTGTCATTCCTTGCTACATAATAGACTCTGGGGCACATATTTACTAAACAGTGAATTGTGGCAAAGCGTAAAAAAATATATATGTAGTCTAACATTAAAAAAAGGTTTTCAATTTGCCACTATTCACTGTTTTGTTTTTTAAAATATCAACATATACCAAAACCATATGTTTTATATAAATCCAAGTAAACCCATGCACTGGCTTCATATAAAGTACAAGGGTTGTCTAGTTAAAAGAAGCATTCCACACCCATAGAGCACTTCATATTGCTGAATTGCTATGTGGCTATTGAGTATCTCTTTAACCCTTTAAGGACACATGACATTTGTGACATGTCATGATTCCCTTTTATTCTGGAAGTTTGGTCCTTAAGGGGTTAAAGGGACACTACAATCACCAAAACAACTTTAACTTAATAAGCACTTTTGGCGCATAGTTCATGCCCCTGTAATCTCACTGCTCAATTTTCTGCCACATAGGAGTTAAATCACTTTGTTTATGCAGCCCTAATAACACCTCCCTGCATGTGGCTTGCACAGCCTTCCTAAATACTTTCTGTAAAGAGTCGTCTAATGTTTACACTTCCTTTATTGCAAATACTAATTTAGAATGTATTATCTCATGCTCTGTTAATAGCTTGCTAGACCATGCAGGAGCCTCCTGTATGTAATTAAAGTTCAATTTGCAGAGCAGGAGATAAAAACCTTTTAAAGTAAGTTACATTTAACTCCGCGGTTCCCAAACTGTGTGCCGCGGCGACGCGGAATGTTTCCCCAGTGCTATGATTATAGCACCAGGAAAACATTACTGTTGAACAGGGGCCCAGTCGGGTGCTGCGGTCCTTTAAGACCGCGACCGGGTCCCTGTAACAGCCTGTCACTTCCTCCCAGTGTCATGTGGGAGGGAGACGAGCACGAAGAGCTGCTCCATGCCCATAACTAACACCAGCAGCAGGCCTTCAAGCCACCCTCCTAGACACACAAGGTAAGCTAACAGAAGGCTGGCAGGCAATATTAAAAATATCACTTGTGTGTGTGTCAGGGTGTGCTTATGTGTGTGCCAGGATATGCGTCTGTGTATGTGCTTCTGTATCATGGTGTGTACATTTATCAATGGTTGTGTGTGTCAGGGTGCGTGTGTATCTATGTGTATGTATGTACATACATCCAAGCAGTCATACACCAGCACAACATAAAAAAACACTTGCAATCTAACACAAATATTACATACAAACTCAAAAAGGATATACAAAACACACCCCTTCAAACACATACTTCACACAAATGTACATCCGCATTTAAAAGGGCTGCATAAAACAGAAACAAGTGCTATAACTCCTAAATGGTAGTGAATTCAGCAGTGAAACTTCAAAAGGCATGATCTACACACAAAATCTGCTTCATTAAGCTAAAGTTGTTCTGGTGACGGTAAAAGTGAATTTTAGCGTATTTTATTATTATTTGCTGTTTTGTTCAGGTGTGATTTAAGCAAAATAACTAACTCATAGTATTTGTCTTACCTAGAATGTGGGGGTAAAAGTGTGTTTTATTATTTGGAGTTAGTTATTTTACTTACTGTGCCACTTAATCACACCTGAACGAAACGGCAAATAATAAAATACACTTTTACCCTGGTGACTAAAGTGTCCCTTTTAAATTCCTATTTATAAAAGTGACAATTTCGTTTTGAAATTAGCACTTTTATATTTCAAGCAAACAGCTGAGGAGAGTCAATTCCTACTTCCATTAGCTCCACTGAGACCACCACTGGACCACGGGTAAACAGTTTGCCCCATTACTGGGCAACCGGGCCAGTGCACTCCTGGCATCATAACCACTACAGACAAATGTCGAGGTCGTGATGATTGTAGTAGCCCTTTAATCCAGTGGTCAGCAACCCAGTCCTCATGGTCCTCCAACAGTCCAGGATTTATGTATTTCCCTTTTTTATTCCAATGGAGACACTGACAAAACCTGGACTGTTGGTGGTCCATGAGGACTGGGTTAGGGACCACTGCTTTAATGGAAAGATGTAAGCAATCCACAGCATAAAGTCAATACACAAAAAAACATGCTTGCACATAGTAAGTTGGAGAGCAAGTTTATGATGGAAAAGAATCATGAAAAGAGGTGAAATGCCCCTAGTAAGATTCCTTGATGTGCTCCTTTATCGAATATATGTATAAATTCTAGGTGACAAACTAAATGAATTACCTCTTATCGCCCCACATGAGCCATGGAGCTAATAAAGTTGGCAAAACATATGATATACTCACCAGTATCCCAGATATCACTAATATCCCACTTCCTGCTTCGCTCCCTGGGTGTACAACCTTTAAACTTCCACACATGCGCACAGTGCCAGCAGCATGGCCAGGTTAAAGGGGAAATGGCCGCTGCACATGCGCAATCAGCACTAGGAAGCGCGTGAGGGCAACACACATGCGCAATCGGGACTATCACGGAGACAGCGTTAGTAGGGGTAATAAGCGTGCAACGACGCTGCGCCCTCTGCTGTTCAAATGCTGGCAGCTTTATAATGCTGTAAAAAATTATACAGTAAAAAAAGTCACTAAACATTCGGGCACTAACAGTGACAGAGAGGATATTTTTGTTTGTGGATGGAGTAGTTTGGAAAACATAAAGCTGAATGTATATTTATGTACACTCTGTCTCATAAAAATTTTTTGGTTTCTTTCAATTTGAGTTAACTTTAAAGCATTTACATACAGGTTCCATTATAATTTAATTAGAGAACATTTTATTGATGGAGTTCTGCCTCTTTACTTGTACTTTGGTCAGTAAGACATGACTAGTCACCCTCTTCCTCTGCTCATTAATGTTGCCTTGACATTGGAGAAGGGTTACATACCCTATCTCAGAGCATTTAACCTGATCTTGCTTTTTAAAGGGGCACTCCAAGCAAAATTACTATCTTGTTGGAGGAAATTTACATCGATAATGTAGAAGTGGTGCCAGGACACTAGCATAGGAAGACCGGCAAGGAGGACAGGGGCTCCAGTCTCAAACCATTCTTCTAAAACAGTGGTTCCCAAACTTTTTTCACTTGAGTACCCCTTGGCAGCCCATTTCCATAAATTGTACCCCTCATATTAATAAATTTAATAACATAGTGTTGTTATATAAAATGTAGACGTCTTTCTCTGCCCCAGTCTGTCCCTGCTCTATATCTGTTCCAGGCTCAACATGCTCCTGCTCTGCCCTAGGCTCCCCCTGCTCTTCCTTTGCTCCAGGCTCCCCTTGCTTCTTCTCTGCCCCAGGCTCCCCTTGCTTCTTCTCTGCCCCAGGCTCCCCTTGCTCTACTCTGCCCCAGGCTCTCCCTGCTCTACTCTGCCCCAGGCTCTCCCTGCTCTTCCCATCCCCAGACTCCTCTGCTCTTCCTTCTGCCTCGGGGTCCGTTGCTCTTCCTTCTGCCCCACGCTCCCCTGCTCTTCCTTCTGCCCAGGCTTTCCATGCTCTTCCTCTGCTCCAGGCTCCCCTGACCTCCTCTGCCCTAGGTTCCCCATGCTACTTCTCTGCCCCAGGCTCTCCCTGCTCTTTTTTTGACCCGAGCTCTCCTTGCTCTTCCGCTGCCCCTACTCCTCCTCTGTCCACAGGCTCTCCAATTCCTTCTGCCCCAGGCTCCTCTTGCTTCTCCTCTGCCACAGGCTCTCCCTGCTCCTCCTCTGCCTCAGGCTCTTCCTCCTCTTTCTCTGTGCCCGGCTCCCCTTGCTTCTCCTCTGCCCCAGGCTTTCCTTGCTTCTCCTCTGCCACAGGCTCCCCTGCTTCTCCTCTGCCACAGGCTCCCCTGCTTCTCCTCTGCCACAGGCTTTCCTTGCTTATCCTCTGCCCCAGGCTCCCCTGACCTCCCCTGCCCTAAGTTCCCGATACTCTCTCTGTCTCCAGGCTCCCCTTGCTTCTCCTCTGCCCTAAGTTCCCCTGACCTTTTCTGTCCCAGGTTCCCCCTGCTCTTCCGCTGCCCCAGGCTCTCCTGATCTTCCGCT